CGGCTCTGTAGATAAGTATTGACATACTTGTGGTTGCCGACTCCAATTCCATCGCCGAATGGGAAGAAGCCGGCCGAGCTTGATCTACCTAAACTTGCTGAAAACTCGGCTTGCATAGCACGAAATAGAGCCAACGGATTGATACCACACGGAACGAAAAGAATGAAAGTACATATTTGTAACCAGTAAGATTTAAGCTTCCACTTCCAATCGCGTTGTTCGATAGGCGTAATAGTCGATTCCCAGCAAGCTAGCATCGTACGGACTCGAACGGACTGTGGAGGTCCTCGAGGCTTTACCTCCGTGATGGTTATTTTTGTGCGATGGAAAATTGAGCAATAGACGACATATATGGCAAAAAAGCTCAAGACGGTCAGTCCCGTAACTGCGCCAACGAGTCCTCTAATGATTCGATAGAGCTTGCGTAATTTTTCTGGGAGAGAATCGCCAAAGCGAATGTTATTCATTGATAACAAACCGTAGTCAACAGCCGAAACGATCTTCTTCATCTTCAAGTGTTGAGGATTTCTCCAGTTAATCCGTTCTGTGGAAGCAAATCGTTCGAAGTAAGTGTGGACTGCAAGAAAATAAAGAAGCAAACCGATGGGTGAGAAGAGATAAGTGCTGATAAGAATCGCAGTGAACACAACGCGTTCTTCAGTCCAAGCGTGATGACGTGGAAGACCGTCTGCGGCCAGTGTCACATGAGAAGCACAAGTGAACTTTTCATGGAAGTCTTTTACCATCCAACGGCCTACCCACAACTCAGCTACATGAAAATGGGTTCTCGTAGCTGAAGCGTCGAAGACATTCTGATAGAGATTCAATATTTTGGAGAAGATAGACGAGTTCGAATGTGCAGCATTTGCCGTTGGTAGGACGAGCCATTGACTTAATGCGAACAAAGATCGAACTGTAAATATAACCGAGCAAACAACGGTCAGGTAGTAGGTGAAACGACTTCGCGGTCTAGTAACCAGTGCCAACCAGCCCAAAAGGACGAAATTGTCGAAACGAGCTATTTGGTTCACTTCGAATAGAGACCACATTATTTTGTATTATCTAAAAATGAAATAGAAAAACAATCTAGAGGCTTCGTTCGCTCAAAAGTGGGTAAATATACTGATATTTATCTTGTTTTCGTACGAGTGTATTAACTTGCTTTTATATTAAAATATTATGTCAACTATGAGTATAGGTGATTGGATGGAGTGATGAATATAGTAAAGTGGATTATTTATATGAAGAAATTCGTTTAGAACGATATTCGATATAGGTATAGTCAATGAAGCGTATATTAGAAATCAGTAAAAAAGTATTCCCTTTTAGTTTCGCATCACCTATTCAAATTGACAGTATGCATCCTTCTTTCTTTTTCATTTTGATAATATTTAACAGATAAACGCTCGATGTATTTCATTGACGTGCACAAGAAAAGAATCTTTTGAGCATTAAACAAGATAAATAACAATCCTTGAAACGATGTCTTATGTCACTTATGCATTATTGTCAGTATTAGACAGATGAAGGTATTCAAAAATGAAAGAAAAGAACGCACATACATGTCTTTATTACAGTTGTGACAGACGTATCATTCATCGTCACAATTATACAGAGCGAACGTTGCGTGCGTGCACTATAGAATCTTCACTGACTAATGAATTAAACTCGAACATTATTATCAATAGTATAATTGAAAGAGTATTTACAAATGTAGAGAATCAATTATTCATTTAAATATGTCTAATTTACTCGACATATTTGACTGTTCTCATAATTTATCAGTTTCAAAAACAGAAATGTGTTCAATATTTTTACTATAACGCTATGCACATGTTCGAACTAGAAGTGTGCATATTGTCAACACCTTTAATCATTGAATACTAGAATTTTATATTGATAATCGATAAAAAAATATCGAATAAATAGGTGAGAAAAATATTTCTGCTTTCGAAGTTATTAACAAAACGATTAGACTATGGCTGTGTCTTTTTTTGTGAAGCATTTCAATACATTTGGAGTCGATCTGTAGAACTCCCGTATCGAGGAATATATTGTAAAATTAGAAAAGATTATTGCTGTTATTCAACTCGTTGATTCAGCTTTGTGTAGAAAATAGCAATTCAACGAGTAAAATCAAGAGAAGTATTTTCGTCTTCATCTATCAAAGTACAAAAGCAGAGAGTTGTATTGTGTATTTCTTTTGTTCTTCTCTTTATACCGATTCAACACTACAATATACTTTTTTTCTTTAACCATGCCCACGATTGACGCATTTATCTACACGTAGTAAAAATGCCTATAACAAGCAGTTGATTGCTGGTGGTGGCAATGTGGATTAACACATATAGACATATGAAGCTCCTGTTCATCTATGTGAAGCTAGTGGTAGTGCTTCTACTGCCCTTTGTAATAGTTGTAAAGGTTGTCTGAGAAATTGCATAGGCACAGACGATCGTTGTTTTAGAGATTGCTATGGCGTAGATAACATGAAATACAGAGATGAAAATTGTAAAAACAAAAATAAAGAATATGTACAAAATAGGTATATCAATTTACTAAAACGTTCAAATTTTTTTGTATAGACAATAACGAAGGATCAAAGATATCATCACCTATAAACAAATAATGTCGTCGTCAATCGAGCATGGTGTTTCTCTTGTTTTCTTTTGTATTAATCAACACTACAGTTATAATAAATCTAGCAACAGAACATATTTTGTTTATTCTTACGTGCTCAATTAATAACTGAATATTTTTCATTTTTATTGGTTAGCAAATATTTAGTCTGTTAAAATCAAACAATCTCCTGTTTCCAAGGATTAGCCAGAGGTTCACCGACAAATATGCCTTGAAATGTTTGAAGAACGCTTTTCCAATATGCTTCAATAAGAGTTTCACCTTTGGTATAATATTCAATCATAATAGTTGGATCGGGAAACTTTTGAGCATAAGCACATGGTTCAGTCACAGTACCAAACGTTCCTGTTGTACCACCAGCAATAAATTTAAGTGCAGACATTTGATAGGAATCGGTAAGCATACCTCCGAATGATGTCAAATGATCTGCTACAGCACCTGGTGGAAATTCATTCCGATCGATATTTATGACTGATGCTAATCCTTGAAAATAAAACAATGCATCCGTTGTATTGGAAATCCAATCTGCATTTCTAATTTGAACATTCACGGAAGAGCTCAATGCAGTTCCTAGATTAGCAACTGGAAAGATTCTTGCGCGGAGACTTCTTACTGAATCAGTTGTATTCATGATATAAGCAGAACCACGTGGGTGTGTTCCGTCAGAAGCAATACCCCTATTAATCATCGCCTTCGTTTCATCAACAGTGAGTGCTGCGAGCATCATGGCAGGACGCATGTTGAAATCGGTAAATGGCTTAGTCGAATTCGTTTTATAGTAAGGTGATGATGTAGCCCAGTTACATGTTGAAGCTTTGCAAGGGCCATCCATGTAATTTAGTGCAAATGCTGAAGTAATCGAATTGCATTCAACGCGATAGGGTATTTTCCATGCAATTGCTAGTGCCTGAACCGTTGTTGACAAGGAACGGTCTACTTGATCTTTCAACACTAGAAATTCAGCACTACTTAATTGTACTTTGGTAGAAATATTGAGATGAACTATGTTTTGTGAAGGAATATGACGACGCGTTCGATAGTATTCACCAATAATGACACTCTCGGGATCGTTGTCATTGATCAACAGGCCAAGTTCACGTGGACGAAGGCCACTCAATCGAGGAAGTCTAACAGAGACTTCAGAAGTTGTGTTAGTTGCACCTGTTATTAAACGTGCAGTCACTCGAAAATAGTAAGTAAATCCATTATCAAGTCCAGTGATTGTCAACGAAGATGAGAGGGAGATCAGCGTTTTGGTATATGTTTGGGAACTTGTACCATATTCAATAACGTATTCTAACACTGCTGGCATTGCATTCCAAGTTAACACCACCTGTTCATCGCCACGCACAGCTTGTAAAATGGCAAATTTAGTAGATTGCTGAGACAGGACGTCTAGATTGATAATAGAAGTGTTAATAGGACAAGTTCTAATGACTTTTTGAAGAAATACTCTCTTAGGATCATCTTACTTCCTGCAGAACTACCATTTATCACAACAAAGTTATTTAACCAGCAGTAGAATATATAGATCACAAAAAGACTATGTTTCATTTTTCACACGTTGAAAATAGAGAAAAAAATTGTTTTCACCATGCAAAGTACCAAGTATTTATAGTCTAAGTTAACATTACGAATCAATCTAAATTCGTAAAGCCCTTCAAATTACAATAAAGTGAAGCTTAAGAAAAGAAACCGAACGGACGAAAAAAGTATCCGTTATCTCAAACATTTTCATTTTCAAGAGTAATGAGAAATCTTTATTTAGTAATTTTTGTACTCCTTGGTAAAACTATTTCGTTAGCAGTTATTGATCAACTGTCGAACATTGATTTGGTAAAACAGCAATATCATTTGATAATTCATTGGCAACAATCAAATCAGGTAAATTATCACCGTCCAAATCCCCTGATACTAACGCGACAGAATTAACACCAACTGGAATTGACTTTTCAATAGGAAAGTTGCCAAATCCATCACCAAGTAAAACTGTAAGAGTATTATCACCGTAGTTAGTCACTGCTAAATCAAGAATTGTATCATTATTGAAATCATTCGATGTTACCGAGGATGGAGAAGTTCCAACTGGAAAGCTTCTTTCTGTACGAAACGATCCATCGCCATTGCCGAGCAGAATGCTAATTGTATTGTTGCCCCTATTGACTATGATTAAATCTAATTTTCCATCTTTATCTAAATCTCGTGATATTATGGTCGATGGTTTACTTTGAACTGTGTGTGTGTTATAAGTTAAGAAGCTTCCGTCTTGTAAACCAAGTAAAATAGTAACTGAATTATTTTCTTCATTTACTACTGCCAAATCCAAATAAATATCGTCGTTGAAATAGGCAGGTGATAAAGAAATAGGTTGCAGACCTGTGAAATAATTTCTTTCGTCGACAAATGTTCCATCTCCAACACCGAGCCAGACACTGATACATCGACAATCAGGATTATTTATTACTAAATCGAGCTTGGCATCGTTATTCATGTCTCTTAATACTGCTGCAGATGAATATCTATCGATTTTGTACGGAACGTGTAAAGTGAAACTACCATTGCCATAGCCTAACATTATAGTAATAGTACTGGCATCATAGTAAGAAACAATGAAATCTAATTTCATGTCGTTGTTCAAATCACCTGATAACACAAAATACGGTGATCCGTTAACTGTCAAAGTGCTTTCAGATAGAAAACTTCCATTTCCATTATTAAACATGACGGAAATGCCATTATCTCGTTGATTTGCTACAATAACATCCAGATGTGTATCCTTATTGAAATCGCCGACTGTTAACGAAGTCGGCATATTCCCAGTCGTTATACGATTTGCAAATTTGTAAGGCGTATTACACGTTTGTTCTAAAATGAAATAATACTGTCGCTAGCTATGCCATCTAAAAGATCATACTTTTAGACTGTGTTTGTGGTCTAGTTGCTAATACTGCAGCGAGAACAACCGCTGCAATGATCAAAGTGAACAGAAAACACATCGGAATGGCAAATCTCTTCTTGAGATACCATTGTCGTCTTACGAAAAAATTCGATGATCAATTCAATGATGGCTAGATACTATAGGTGAACTTACTCGATTTTAGGGTAGAGAATTGCATCTAAATACATTCGATAGTACATTTATTTAAATTCGTCAGGTAATTCTTCGCATACCTTTGAATGGAGGTTCTAGTAGTTGAGTTTCTGGTCTCAACTGTTTTAAATGGATAATATGAAGGTCCGGTGCTGGAATAAATTGAGATTGAACTATCATAAACGTACCTGGAAGAAGTAAAATTTCGTCTTCTGTAACAAAATGTGAATAGGCGCTTATTATTCGACCATTGATAGCTTCAACTGAAAATAACGTCCGATTACCAGTCGTACCCAAATAGACGTTACTTTCGAGTACACGCAATTCAATAGTACAAGATGAAAACGGCCACCACGTGACAAGCGTGCCGGGAGGAAAATCTTTACTTAAGTCTTTAGTTACTCCACGCCAAACAGTTGATGGTGGTGCACATGATAATTTAACTAAGGCAGTTAATAGAAGTTTCATATATTTAAAATAAGGTCGAACTTCATCGCGATTTCCCTTCTTTAAAGTAAAATTGAGCATTGAATAGAGACTCTTATATGGTGGTTGCCATTCGATTGTATACAGACGGATCGCAGCACTTTCATCGACTGTTAAACCATCTGGTGGATGTTCAGGAGTTTCATCAAGTGCCATTTGAACATAATACGGTAGGTTGTATAGAATGTCCATTAGTGGAGAACATGCTTTCGAAAGAGGTAATAAAGTTTCTTGAGCATATCCATCCGTTGGACCGATAAGATCCGATTGAATGCCATTGCTGATGTCCGTTGTTGATATGAGAGGCTCATCAATACTTCTATCTACAACGCGATGATTTTGATTCATAGAAGTATTCATTGGATCGTTTGTTACTTCTGGCCAAATATTTGCATTGATATCATTCAACATCGATGCTGTTAATTCAGTTTGGATGTCGATATCCCTGACATCCGGTGTAAGTCTTTCTAATTCCATCACCGAATCACGATCATCTGTGGAGTTCGCCAAGTTTCTCATTAGATTAAGCATCGTTTTATCCTTGTGTGCATGAAACGAACCTTGTAAACTTGTAAGGTATATGCGCGTTTCTTATTTATCGTCATGATCATTGACGCATTCGTTGCTTTTTTTGTCTCAATACACAATGTTTTTCTCTTGTTCCGTTCCTCCATACACACCCTTTTATCTGAAGCAGGAGATCTGACTTATAGCATCGTGTGTATGTTGTTTGTCTCATTCCGAAAATTAACAAAACAAAGCATAACACAACTGCAGCGTTGTAGACTATTAAGGCTTATGACTCACTCTTAGTCGAGCAGAACAGAAGTATTTTTGATATCTTTTCCTTTTCTCCATAAATTAAAAGAANATGGAGGTTCTAGTAGTTGAGTTTCTGGTCTCAACTGTTTTAAATGGATAATATGAAGGTCCGGTGCTGGAATAAATTGAGATTGAACTATCATAAACGTACCTGGAAGAAGTAAAATTTCATCTTCTGTAACAAAATGTGAATGGCCGCTTATTATTCGACCATTGATAGCTTCAACCGAAAATAACGTCCGATTACCAGTCGTGCCCAAATAGACGTTACTTTCGAGTACACGCAATTCAATAGTACAAGATGAAAACGGCCACCACGTGACAAGCGTGCCAGGAGGAAAATCTTTACTTAAGTCTTTAGTTACTCCACGCCAAACAGTTGATGGTGGTGCACATGGTAATTTAACTAAGGCAGTTAATAGAAGTTTCATATATTTAAAATAAGGTCGGACTTCATCGCGATTTCCCCTCTTTAACGTAAAATTAAGCATTGAATAGAGACTCTTATATGGTGGCTGCCATTCGATTGTATACAGACGGATCGCAGCACTTTCATCGACTGTTAACCCATCTGATGGATGCTCAGGAGTTTCATCAAGTGCCATTTGAACATAATACGGTAGGTTGTATAGAACGTCCATCAACGGAGAACATGCTTTCGAGAGAGGTAATAAAGTTTCTTGAGCATATCCATCCGTTGGACCGATGAGATCCGATTGAAGGTCATTGCTAATGTTCGTTGTTGATATGATAGGTTCATCAATAATTCTATCTACAACGCGATGATTTTGATTTATAGAATTATTCATTGGATCGTTCGTTACTTCGGGCCAAATATTTGCATTGGTATCATCCAACATCGATGCTGTTAATTCAGTTTGGATATCGACATCTTTGACATCCGGTGTAATTCTTTCTAATTCAATCAGCGAAACACGATCATCTGTGGAGTTTGTCATATTTCTCATTAGATTAAGCATCGTTTTATCCTTATGTGCATGAAACGAACCTTGTAAACCTGTAAGGTATGTGCATGTTTCTTATTTATCGTCATGATCATTGACGCACTCATTGCTTTTTTTGTCTCAATACACAATTTTTTTCTCTTGTTCCGTTCCTCCATACACACCCTTTTATCTGAAGCAGGAGATCTGACTTATAGCATCGTGTGTATGTTGTTTGTCTCATTCCGAAAATTAACAAAACAAAGCATAACACAACTGCAGCGTTGTAGACTATTAAGGCTTANGCAAGTAGATTTCATTTTTATCTTTTCCGATAACGTGTCAAACGATCAAGAATGGATACAAGATTCGGCGAAGATTAAAGGTGTGTACACAGATATTAAATTGCTGTGTTATTCTCTCGAACAATCGCTTAACTATTGTGGACAAAATGGCATTGGTTTTGGTGTGCTGCGCGATGATGACGTTTCGAAGAACTTGGATCAACTAGATCCAATGTTTATCGTCATGTGCATCATAAAAGACATTCTGTTCGATATCGAATTCGGGCCCCAAAGTCTTGTAGAATTGACACAGTATTGTCAAGAAACATTAGAAAAAGAAAACAAACACGAACTTAACAACTGCTTTATCTTCCAACAAGACTATGCGGGAAGAACACCCTTATGGTGGTACACATGGGACTCCTTTCTGTATCCCATGCTCAATCGAGCGTTGTGTTTATCACAGATCAGTATCATCATGAAAATGGGCTTTTTTATTCGAGATCTCTATCAGCAAATTGACGAAATGCATCGAAAGCAATTTTGTGGTACGAATGGCGACCAATCGTTTATAGTTTATCGCGGACAAGGGATGTCTAAAAATGATTTTCAAAAAGTATGGAAAATGAAACGTGGTCTGATTGTTGTCAAGAACTTTTTACTAACAAGTCCGACGGAAGAAACGGCAATGAAATATGTAGAACGCGTTTTACTCGATTCTGACAAAGTAGGCGTTATATTTGTCATTAAGGTCAAACCGAATCGGTCAACAGGACTTTTTGCTTCGATTAATGGACTCGGAGCGGATGGAAACGAAACAGATAACGTTATTTTTGCAATGAATACGCCGTTTCGTATTCGAAATATTAAACCCGTGGGTAGAAATACACGTCTTTTCCGATTGAAATTGGAGCTTGCCGATGAAAATGATGACACTCTTCAGGTGTTGACGAAACGAATTCGCAAGGAAAGCTTTCCAGATTTACAAGGATGGAAACGCCTGGGTGCAGCACTATTGAAACTCAAACGACCAAAAGACGCGGAACAAGTTTATAAAATTCTCTTACAGCAAGAAACTGAAGAATGCAACAATGCTTGGCTTTATAACAGACTTGGATGGTGTAAATATGAGCAAGCAGAGTATGAAACAGCTATTAGATTTTATAAAAAATCTATTGAAATCTATGAAATATGTTCTCCAAATGATCCCAATTTGGCCATGTCTTGCAACAATATCGGCTTGGTGTTCGACGAAATGGGTGAGTATACGAGAGCGCTTTCATATTACGAGAAAGCACTCATAATTAGACAGAAGTCACTACCTCTCAACCACCCCGAGCTGGAGAGTTTATATGTAAATATCAGTTCCGCGTATGACGAGATTGGTGAATACGCCAAGGCAATCTCATATAAAGAAAGAATACTTGAAATTAAACAGCAACCAACTCCTCCAAATCATCGTGATTTGATTGATCCATGTAATAGCATAGGTTTTTCATATGCAAAGATGGGAAACTATGAACAAGCATACTCATTTTTTGAGAAAGCCGTGCAGCATGCAGAACAATCATTACCGACGAACCACATCGGACTTCGACTATTAAAAATCAATCGTGACCGTGCAAAAAGAAACTTGTAGTTTTATTGTTTTCTCTTGCCTGAAAAGATTTCACACAATAAAAAGAACAAATAGTTTAATTTGATGTATTCGAATGATCACAAATCGGAGCTTCGTGGTAGTTCTGTCGCAGCTGATCAGCGAAAAATTCTAGTCGCTCGTTGCGTTGTACTGGGCCATCGTACCTAATCATATAGTCCAAGTATAATGTTATATTATCATTCATTCGTGGAGCTCGCAATGTAAACATTCTACCTAAACAGTCAAAACATGGAGATCCTTTGCAAAAAAAAAATGCTCTATATATCCAAACAGCACTATGACACCATGGACATTGATAATAAATGACATTGGGCCGCGTCGATCGACTTTGCTTGACGATCGGCGGACGAGTTATTCTTCTAGCATCTCCGTTATTTTTGTTCGCATGGAAAGTATTCAGTGATTCCTTGTGTTCGTAAAAAGCATCTAAAGCTCTGTAATACGGACTAAGTGGTGGTTCGCCGATAGGATAAGAAAACGCATCGACATTTGCAACTCTATCTATATGTAACATTGCTTGCTCGTTCTGACCCATTGCTGCATAGACAATGGCAAGACCCATGTGATACACTCCCATCTCTGGATGAATATCACTTAAATTTTTCTGTGCTACATCCAGAGCACGTTGATAGTAATCAAGAGCTTTAGCTAGATGTTTTTCTTCATAATACAGTCGTCCTAAGTCAGCATACAATTCCGCTACCCAACGGTGTTCCATTCTAGTATTTATTCTATAATATCTAAGCGCCACTTTGTAAGAAGCCAACGCTTTTTTGAAATGATTCAGTTCTCGATAAGCATTTGCTCGTGCATGATAAATTTTGCCGAGTACAAAACGATAATTTGCAGCAGTTTTGTCGATGCTAGTTAGTGCCTTTTCAAAACACCGCAAAGATTCAACGAAATGTAAAGGGTCAGGTGACATCAGGGGTAACGATGCAGATGACGTATATCTTCTATCTTTGAAGCATTTCAACTTTAACCAAGAGAAACAAGCAAAATAATTGGGCTTCGGTCGATTTTCTACATCTGATGGCAGCTCTAGACGAACACTCGAACTTTCTTTGAATCCCAATATCATTTGAGCGTGACCTAACATATAGTAACATTTCGCAAGTTCATTGTTTTCCGGTGGAAATAGACTATATTTATACAAAAGATGATGGCAGAACTTCTGCGCTTCGTTGGCCATGTCCATAGTCAATAATAAAGCTGCAAATTCTTGATATGGATCGTCATGTGTTTCATCTGTGTTTTGCTTATCCTTTAGCCAAGAAAACAGTTTATTTAATTCGACATCTTCCTGCTCGCACATGCTCATCGATATAATCCATCGTTTGCTAAAATCTTGTGCAACATTTGTGATACGAAAGACTGCGCCTACCATGAATAGAATTTCTTTTTCTGCTTCGTTGAAATAACTGATGTCAGTAATATCTCCAAATGGTCGCAAAGTCTTGTTAATTTCATTTGGAATCGCATCAATGATGAATATGACAAACACTGTTTCATCGTCAGTACTACCGAGTTGAATATCAGCAAATGTTTCAGCTACNAGATTAAAGGTGTGTACACAGATATTAAATTGCTGTGTTATTCTCTCGAACAATCGCTTAACTATTGTGGACAAAATGGCATTGGTTTTGGTGTGCTGCGCGATGATGACGTTTCGAAGAATTTGGATCGACTAGATCCAATGTTTATCGTCATGTGGATCATAAAAGACATTCTTTCCGATATCGAATTTCGACCCCAAAGTCTTGTAGAATTTACACAGTATTGTCAAGAAACATTAGAAAAAGAAAACAAACATGAACTTAACAACTGCTTTATCTTCCAACAAGACTATGCGGGAAGAACACCCTTATGGTGGTACACATGGGACTCCTTTCTGTGTCCCATGCTCAATCGAGCGTTGTGTTTATCACAGATCGGTATCATCATGAAAATGGGCTTTTTTATTCGAGATCTGTATCAGCAAATTAACGAAATGCATCGAAAGCAATTTTGTGGTACGAATGGCGACCAATTGTTTACAGTTTATCGGGGACAAGGGATGTCTAAAGGTGATTTTCAAAAAGTATGGAACATGAAACGTGGCCTGATTGTTGTCAAGAACTTTTTACTAACAAGTCCAACGGAAGAAACGGCAATGAAATATGTAGAACGCGTTTTACTCGATTCTGACAAAGTAGGCGTTATATTTATCATTAAGGTCAAACCGAGTCGGTCAACAGGGCCTTTTGCGTCGATTAACGGACTCGAAGCGGATGGAAACGAAACAGATAACGTTATTTTTGCAATGAATACGCCGTTTCGTATTCGAAATATTAAACCCGTGGGTAGAAATACATGTCTTTTCCGATTGAAATTGGAGCTTGCCGATGAAAATGATGACACTCTCCAGGTGTTGACGAAACGAATTCGCGAGGAAAGCTTTCCAGATTTACAAGGATGGAAACGCCTGGGTGCAGCACTATTGAAACTCAAACGACCAAAAGACGCGGAACAAGTTTATAAAATTCTCTTACAGCAAGAAACTGAAGAATGCAACAATGCTTGGCTTTATAACAGACTTGGATGGTGTAAATATGAGCAAGCAGAGTATGAAACAGCTATTAGATTTTGTAAAAAATCTATTGAAATCTATGAAACACGTTCTCCAGATGATCCCAATTTGGCCATGTCTTGCAACAATATCGGCTTGGTGTTCGACGAAATGGGTGAATATACGAGAGCGCTTTCATATTACGAAAAAGCACTCATAATTAGACAGAAGTCACTACCTCTCAACCACCCCGAGCTGGAGAGTTTATATGTAAATATCAGTTTCGCGTATGACGAGATTGGTGAATATGCCAAGGCACTTTCATATAAAGAAAGAATACTTGAAATTAAACAGCAACCAACTCCTCCAAATCATCGTGATTTGATTGGCCCATGTAATAGCATAGGTGTTTCATATTTAAAAATGGGAAACTATGAACAGGCATACTCATTTTTTGATAAAGCCGTGCAGCATGCAGAGCAATCATTACCGACGAACCACATCGAACTTCGATTATTAAAAAACAATCGTGACCGTGCAAAAAAAGAATTGTAGTTTTTTTTTCTCTTGCCTGAAAAGATTTCACACAATAAAAAGAACAAATAGTTTAATTTGATGTACTCGAATGATCACAAATTGGAGCTTCGTGGTAGTTCTGTCGCAGCTGATCAGCGAAAAATTCAAGTCGCTCGTTGCGTTGTACCGGACCATCGTACCTAATCATATAGTCCAAGTATAATGTTATGTTATCATTCATTCGTAGAGCTCGCAATGTAAACATTCTACCTAAACAGTCAAAACATGGAGATCCTTTGCAAAAATAAAATGCTCTATATATCCAAACAGCACTATGACACCATGGACATTGATAATAAATGACATTGGGCCGCGTCGATCGACTTTGCTTGACGATCGGCGGACGATTTATTCTTCTAGCATCTTCGTTATTCTTATTCGCATGGAAAATATTCAATGATTCCTTGTGTTCGTAAAAAGCATCTAAAGCTCTGTAATACGGACTAAGTGGTGGTTCGCCGATAGGAAAAGAAAACGCATCGACATTTGCAACTCTGTCTATATGTAACATTGCTTGCTCGTTCTGGCCCATAGCTGCATAGACAATGGCAAGGCCCATGTGATACACTCCCATCTCTGGATGAATATCACTTAAATTCTTCTGTGCTACATCCAAAGCACGTTGATGATAATCAAGAGCTTTAGCTAGATGTTTTCCCTCATAATACAGTCGTCCTAAGTCAGCATACAACTCCGCTACCCAACGGTGTTCCATTCTAGTATTTATTTTGTAATATGTAAGTGCCATTTTGTAAGAAGCTAACGCTTTTTTGAAATGATTCAGTTCTCGATATGCATTTGCTCGTGCATGATAAATTTTGCCGAGTACAAAATGATAATTTGCAGCAGTCTTGTCGATGCTAGCCAATGCCTTTTCAAAACACTGCAAAGATTCAACGAAATGTGAAGGGTCGGGTGACATCAGTGGTAACGACGAAGATGACGTATATCTTCTATCTTTGAAGCGTTTCAACTTTAACCAAGAGAAACAAGCAAAATAATTGGGCTTCGGTCGATTTTCGACATCTGATGGCATCACTAGGCAAGCGCTCGAACTTTCCTTGAATCCCAATATCATTTCAGCGTGACCTAACGTATAATGACATTTCGCAAGTTCATTGTTTTCCGGTGGAAACAGACTATATTTATACAAAAGATGACGGCAGAACTTCTGCGCTTCGTTGGCCATGTCCATAGCCAACAATAAAGCTGCAAATTCTTGATATGGATCGTCATGTGTTTCACCTGTGTTTTGCTTATCCTTTAGCCAAGAAAACAGTTTATTTAATTCGACATCTTCCTGTTCGCACATGCTCATCGATATGATCCACCGTTTGCTAAAATCTTGTGCAACATTTGTGATACGAAAGACTGCGCCTACCATGAATAGAATTTCTTTTTCTGCTTCGTTGAAATAACTGATGTCAGTAATATCTCCAAATGGTCGCAAAGTCTTGTTAATTTCATTTGGAATCGCATCAATGATGAATATGACAAACACTGTTTCATCGTCAGTACTACCGAGTTGAATATCAGCAAATGTTTCAGCTACTTTTCGATCGAGACTTGTCGATAAAAACGACTTCATTGAGACAAGTTTACCTATCGAATCAGCAAGTAAATCGACTTCGATATTCGACATGCGTTGTCCCCGATAAACACGAATAGGAGATTTTATTTGTCGTTCCACAAGTTGCTGATGCATCTCGCGAATGACGGCGCGACTATAGAATATCGTTTCAACGTCATTTGTGCGAAAACTATTGTTTATTATATTATGGAGAAAATCACTCTTAGTATACCATGTTAGCGCTGTTGCTGTCGAATAAATGCCTACTTGAAATTTGCGTATTTGCTCGAGCACGTTCTTGAAATACGCTTCATTTTGATCGATTTCATATATCTCTTCATATTTTTTGGTACAATGAGTACAAAAATCTACTCGATCAGTTTCTAAAGGTTTCATATGAAGAAGAAGATCGACGAGCAGTTGAGAAAATAAGAATGAACTATTGATGTTAGTTGATGAACGATTTAGTCTACCGATATATAAAGTGGCAAAAGAAAAGAAGTCAGCTGCATGTCGTTGCCAACGTTCACTGAATGCTTGTACACGTTTCAATAAGTGATCGAAATCAAGTACCACCATCTAGAAATAGATGTGATTTATACGAACAGAATAACTTGTCAAACGTATGTATAGGAAACAGCTTTCGAAACACATATTTATCTCAAATACTTGATTGTAAACTCACTTTATTATATTTACTGCGAAGTTGTTCCAGTGAATTACTAAGATTTTCGTCAAAATCCATCCAATAGACGAAAATGCAGACTATATGGCACAAATTATGAAGCAAATGAAGTGCCTCCTGGGCAACATTAGCATCCAGAATAAGAATGGTTTTTTCCGTAATCGATGAAGAATATCCGAGTGCGATGGTACAATCTGTCACATCATCGAAAACTTTAAGAGGAAGTCCAAGTTCAGTTGGAAGTCGCTGTTGCGTCTGTTTCACATTGTTTAATACTGAAATATCTGCATTTGAATTGTCGCTGACAATCCAAGTTGCTTGGAGTGTTTTACTTGACATTTTGCTATCGTCTTTGGTGCACGATTTCAGACATATATTAGAAGAAAATGATTATCATTCTCGTGACGAAAACGAGTTAAGTTGTAAAAGTTTCGTTTTTTCCAATCTTCCAATATACACACGTTCATGAGTCATGATTAGTAATCCTGGCATGGTAGCGGCTGGAAGAGAAGGATGAGTCATGTATACGAGTATTCGTCATATTTTCCAACAGAATTTTGGTCGTGTTTTTTAAGGGATAACTTGACAATACAAGACAATTAGTGACTGTGGAGAAAGAAGATGTGTTTCTATTAGAAAATATTCAAAAGAGCGAGAGTAAGAACGCTTTTTGATTTGTGTTGGAGTTCGTATTCACGATCATCTTGTTAATAAGCAAGTTGTAATTAGTAGGAACCATTAATTCTTATTGTCAAAATACTTTGCATATCGGTTCCTTCAAATGTGCACATCTGCTATTAATCGTATGCTCGAAACATTCTGCTTCCACTAACATACATATGTCAAAATTAGAATGCATTGTTTCACACAGAAGTATTATGAAACGTTCAAAATATTCGATGAAAATAGACTTTGACATTTTCATACAATCATTCTTGAAGAAAATCTGTAAATCTGTGTCACTAAAACAGATCAAAGGATGACAATAATGTGTGCGTGACATATAAACTCATTTCTTTATACTAATTATATTAGAAGATACCGCGCAACTCGCTAGATGAAAACTATTATTAAATTACCTTTTATTTTTCGCCAGCCACCGTTAATTTAGACATTTTTCTCACACATTCAACAAAGCCAGTTAGTGAGCTTTCCAGCCTCCTATAATTAAACGATAAACTAAGTTATTACTCTTACATATTTCTGCACTACGATTGTGTAACATGTCATCTGTTGACCAAATTATTCAACAAATAAATACAGTAACAACGACGATAACAGCCATTATGTACTACACGAATTTTCTCCTAGGTGTAATTGGTCTTTCTATGAACATATTTGTTCTCACACAGCCCTCATTACGTAAAACACCATGTTCAATGTATTTCCTATCAGCAACATTTGCTAATCTATTTATTATACTAGTTATCTTACCAGTACGTTTACTTATCAACACCTACAACATTGATTTGACAACTTACAATATTGAATATTGCAAAATACAAACATTTGCTTCTTTTTCTACACGCGCTCTATCATGCTGGTTAATCACAATGGCGTGTATTGATCGATACCTTCATAGTTCAAACAATGCATCTATGCGTCGTCTCAGTTCATCGAAAACTGCAAAATTATCGATTGGATTGCTTTGTGGTCTAATGCCTGTTCTATATTGTCATATGCTCATCTTCTACAATATAATACAAGTGAAAAAACCATCGGGAACTATGATATATTCATGTACTCTTCAAGATAAAACTTATTCAGCATTTCTTAATCTCTGGCATTTGATGATCTATTCAGTGTGTCCATCATTTGCAATGCTGATCTTCGGGTGTCTGGTGTTGAGAAATATTCAAATAAATCAACGTACCGTTGCACGAAATGCGAACAATGCTCGAAATAATCGACGTAGAAACGCTACACTTTTACGTATGTTGCTGGCTCAAGTACTGTTAATTCTGATCACTACTGGCCCACGTTCTATATATCAAATCTATGCGCTGTTCACTAATAATGTTGTCAAGAACATAATTCGAACAAATGTCGAGAATTCAGTCGGTACAATACTGGGTGTGCTGTCATATTTTGCTCATTCAACGACATTTTATATATTTACATTGAGCGGTAGCATCTTTCGAAAAAAAGTTCTCAAACTTTTTCTACGATGTTCGTTCTGCAGAGAGAATCGTGTTCACACAACCATCGACAAGCGAATGCCTATATTGTATTGAAGATTGTCAACAGGAAAAAGATCTTCTGTTTGCTTATCCTATCTAATATTTCTATACATTTATAATGATTGTGAAATAAACAATATGACAAATAATTCGTTTTTTCTTCCAAAAAACATGCCGAGGTTATTGAGAAATCTATAAGGAGTAACAACAAGTTCTACTTTATGAAGTAATTTGAGAGAATATCATCCGTAACGCACATACAACATCAAAAGTAAACGAGTGTTTCTTTCATCTACAGTTGCAATTTACCATCAGTTTCATCCAAATAAAGCTAAAAACTCAATTAGATGTGTTCTATTCAAACCGATCAAAACGAAACCTACTCGAGTGATCACAGTGAGTAATTGATCGACTTTCTTTGGAAAATTTTCAATTGGATCGACATATTTTGCACGTAGAAATTCACTTCTTTCATCTTCCACGACTTTTTTCCAACCTAAAAATATTCACAAACTTTCTTTCTCTTAATTTTCAACTCAAGCTCAGTCGAACCGATGAATTTTTGAAATCTTCTGATCATAAATGTCAACATCACTTGATTGTCCTTTTCCGCATTTTCTTTCGCCTGTCGAAAACTATCGTTAATAATTGTAATGAACATACTCAAACAGACAAAAACCACGATAAGAATGAACAAAGCAAATGCCAACGGTCCAAGAATCGGTGCAGCGGCAATTAACTCCTGTGTGTCGAATTTCATCAATGTCATTTCGAATAACATCTGAGCAGTTAATAAGATCGATGCACACGATGATATTTGAGACACAAATAATAAATAGAAAAGCGCAACAAACGACATGAAGACAATTGTGAACATGAATGAAAACGAGATTAATTCATTGGCGGAATAATGTAACGTTTGTATGAATAAACACAGACGTTGATTAAAACGAAGCAGCTTCACAAATTTGATCGTTCCGAAAAAGCAACAAAAGCCAAAAAGATAGACTAGAATGTTGTTGATGTACGACGCCATTTGTAAATTAATATAAACATATCCGTTCGTTTCTGAGAATAATCGACCAATTCTTTGACATTCTTTGTATCTCCAAACATAAATAGCCAAACTTGTCCATGAACAAACGAAAATACCCAATTCAATCCACGACCAGAATTGTTGAATATATTTTTTCCATTTCAATTTAATCAACAATTGAATTTCGATCCACATCAAATAAATGATCATTACCAGGTACAAAACATTACAAATCAATTGAAATGTTGATGTAAGCGCTAAAAGGTTAACACCTCAAATACATTCTCAACATGATCGAATTACTTTACCGTAGAAATCCAAAGGTTCAAATCGTGAAGAAGTCGAAAGTCCACCGGTTGACAAAATTTCTAAAAGAAAATTCATTTGGGTGAACAAATGAACATTCGGATTGTACAAAGTAAGTTGAATAATCACAGCTCGTGTTTGTTTATCAATCCAATTCAGTTGACGAAGTTCACTTAAATTACTTTGAAGTTCAGAGAAACGTCCACGAAATTCATAAATATAACCACCACCTGGATAAATCCCTTGATCACCAACGTATGGATAAGTATCGGATTGCTCACTTGTTTGATATTGAAATGACTTTCGAATCGACGAACTGAAATTCGTTTTTGTTATCAAATTTGTCCATTGAGGTGAATAAGAATCTTTTTCTTCGTTTGAATAACTATAATCTTCATAACAAATCGCTTGAATTTGTTTTTCGTTGTTTGGACACGATTCTGTTCGAATTCGTAATTGTCTCATAGTTGCCCATCCAATCAAACGATTGGCTTTATCATTCAGATAACCAGAAAGATTTCGTGGTGTTTCACCATTGTACCACCGCTGTGCGCGAAGATTTACAACAAAACTTTCTTGCAACCATTTCCAATAATCATCAACTGTGGAGATTTGGGTATAATCACAATCGCTTTGTCGTGAATTGAGAAAATATCTTCTGAAATGATGAACTTGAAGGGAAGGATCGGTTTGATCGTGTGAATAGATGACAATGTAAAGAAGAGCTATGAAACATATATAAATAGTTGTTTCACGAATAATCGACCACATTCGAAGTTCTTTTAAACGTTGATCACGAGCATAGGCAATTTCAGCTTCAGTTAAACGGTTTGCATAACTTAGACTTCGAAATTTCTTCTAAAACATTCTCAACTCTATTGTAATGAGAAAGCAAAGAAGAAACAAACCTTTGGAAAATGTAAATATTCTTCGTCGAAGTTCAATTCCAATGATTCATAATCCAAAAATTCAAGTGCTTCTTTATCTTCATTCAATTTACGACAAAAACAAGCAAAAACGATCGCCAGAATCAGAAGCTTCAAACAGAAAAAACTTTCTCATGGAAATTCAAATAAACAATCCTCACTTTCAATGGTTGCGTCAAAAGAATTGAAGAGAAAAGTCCCGTTAGAATTGAGATCAGCCATTTCTGGGTTTTTTCATCACCAAATTCAATTCCACGAGCAACGATAAACAAGATTGAAACTCCAACGAGAAGAATACAAAGCCCATAGGCGATAAAGATACACCACCAAGGGAATGTCAACGAACATTTTCTTTTCTTCTGTTTTTCAACATTCAATGCCCAATTCGGTTTCAGTTTGGATAGAGCTTGTTGTACAGGTGATAAATACAATCGACGAAGTCGAAGACGTCGAAATAGTTGAACAAGTAAAAGACTCGGCACCAATGCAAATAACTCCACAATGATTCCAATTGTTATCTAAACCGCATTACATATTCATTCAACTTTGAGGTTTTAATGCGAAACATACCTGTTCACGACCAATGGAAAGCGAACCAAACGACAGACTGGCAGTAGAATTTGAAATTTTAGTTTTCGCCTCATTAGAAAGATCATAATACATGATGTTGAGGAACATCGAGACAATAAATAAAACGAAACAGCATGTACAACGCTGAACACGTGTAAATCGATTTGACGGTGGACGCGAAAAGATTGAAAACCATAAATGGCCATCCGAAAAACTAAGATAAGCACTTTTTGCTAAGACAAATGAAAATTCTTGTTTTTCCAAATCATTTGCAACAGGTAAAACACGTTCAATTAATCCATCATCTTTTTCAACTGCAAACCATTTTTGACAAATAAAATGGAATTTTTCCATCGTCTGAAGATCATGAACAATGATATACTTCAAAAACCATGACGAGGACGATCCTTCACCGGAATTATCATGCCAGATGCGAATACAATTCAGATACCCCAATGATTTTGGTACAGCCATTAGGAAGGCATCGACGGAACCGCGTTGAAATACTTTCCGATGAGGATCACTTAATGTTCGAACATTTGTATCGTCCACATCACCCGATAAGACAAATTGGACATTGGATTTCGTTCCTGCACCCTTTCGTAGACCGGTAAAAACGATAATTTCGTAAAAATATTGATTCGATTGATCATTGTCTGCTAAGGGTGTCACACCCAACTAAACAAACAAACTTCACTTTTTTTTTCTTTTCTCTCGTACTCCTTCTTACTTTTTCAATATCTTTCCGATCTTTGTATCTTGCATAAATCGTTATGATCATATACAAGACTAATACACAAATCACGGTAAAATAAATCGTTTTAGTCTTCATAAAATCTGCATTAGCAAAAATATAACTCCAGTTTACTGGTGTCGGTAAAACAACGAATCCACCAGCAAAACTTGTCAAATGAGTTGATAGACATTGAGTTTGAAAACGATTGGTTAACGGTCCAACCTATACAACGCGAATTGCAATAATCTCCAAGAGAAAAAGATATTGTTGAACTTACGATTAATCCATCATATTTCCATTGATTGGATTTCTGCCGATAAAAACAACACGCCGAATAGATTCGAAATTTGTAATCAGCTGTGAAACGAACTGGTTCATCGCGAATTGGCGGATTCGTAATTGATGATGAATTCGAACACATTGTTTCTTGTTCTGTTGAATTCAATTCTCGTAAACCAATCACAACTGCTGTATGGCCCACGGATTGTTGATTATCAAGGAAATATGTATAAATACCTTCATCGGACAAATCCGTTTGAGGACAAAAGGTTTTCCATCCATCAATTTGTTTCGTTGACCTATTCAATTGAGGAATTTGATCGAATTTATAGATGAATAAATAAGCGAGCGAAGAATTCAATGGTTGAATTTCAAAATGAATTGATTTTGGGCCAGAACTTGTGATGTTGGCATAATGAAAAGAAAAGAATTGTTGATGGGGGGTTGAATTCATCGAAGTCACATTTTGGAAAACCATTTCGGGAACGAGCATGTTCGGATCACGAGGAATGAAGATTTGAATTGGATCAGAAACATCTGCCTGAATCGAAAGTTCATTCTCACCTCGATCGAACAGAGAAAGCGTCACCGATCGAGACAGATTGGTATCTTTTGACGAAGATTTCCACCGAATCACCGTTGCAAGTGACTCCAATGTTGACTAAAATACTCCAAAATCATTGTTGATTTCGATCAGAAAAGAAACGTACTCGAATCAGGACTGTTGAATCGACACTTTGATTGAGAACAACATTTGCAGGAAATTGAATTTGTGCATTATCGCTTTGTTGAATCAATTTATTCGATACAGAATTGATCGATACGGCTTCGATTGACATAAATGCCTGACTTGTGTTTGTAACAAAGCTTTGTCCGATATTTAAATGAATGTTCAAGGATGAACTTATTAATCTCATCAATTCCTCGTATTCATTGAGAATTTGCTGTGCTAACTGATTTTGATAGTAGAGATTGCGATTCTCGTCAATCGTCTCCCATGAAAAGTCACTTCCATCAGCAAACAAATCTTTTCACAAACATGACAATGCCTATTCAATGAAGAATCATGTGACCTTACTTGGATTCGACCAATCAAATTCCACATCGGTGTCATAATTATCAGGAAATTGTCTTGCACGTGCTGAATCCAAATCTAGTACAGATGNTTGCTGTCGAATAAATGCCTACTTGAAATTTGCGTATTTGCTCGAGCACGTTCTTGAAATACGCTTCATTTTGATCGATTTCATATATCTCTTCATATTTTTTGGTACAATGAGTACAAAAGTCTGCTCGATCAGTTTCTAAAGGTTTCATATGAAGAAGAAGATTGACGAGCAGTTGAGAAAATAAGAATGAACTATTGATGTTAGTTGATGAACGATTTAGTCTACCGATATATAAAGTGGCAAAAGAGAAGAAGTCAGCTGCATGTCGTTGCCAACGTTCACTGAATGCTTGTACACGTTTTAATAAGTGATCAAAATCAAGTACCACCATCTAGAAATAGATGTGATTTATACGAACAGAATAACTTGTCAAACGCATGTATAGGAAACAGCTTTCGAAACACGTATTTAAATCAAATACTTGATTGTAAACTCACTTTATTATATTTACTGCGAAGTTGTTCCAGCGAATTATTAAGATTTTCGTCAAAATCCATCCAATAGACGAAAATGCAGACTATATGGCACAAATTATGAAGTAAATGAATTGCCTCCTGAGCAACATTAGCATCCAGAATAAGAATGGTTTTTTCCGTAATCGATGAAGAATATCCGAGTTCGATGGTACAATCTGTCACATCATCGAAAACTTTAAGAGGAAGTCCAAGTTCAGTTGGAAGTCGCTGTTGCGTCTGTTTCACATTGTTTAATATTGAAATATCTGCATTTGAATTGTCGCTGACAATCCAAGTTGCTTGGAGCGTTTTACTTGACATTTTGCTATCGTCTATGGTGCACGATTTCAGATATTCACAAGAGAAATCGTATAGACATATATTAGAAGAAAATGATTATCATCCTCGTGACGAAAACGAGTTAAGTTGTAAAAGTTTCGTTTTTTCCAATCTTCCAATATACACACGTTCATGAGTCATGATTAGTAATCCTGGCATGGTAACTGTATGCTGGAAGAGAAGAATGAGTCATGTATACGAGTATTCGTCATATTCTCCAATAGAGTTTTGGTCGTGTTTGCTACGGGATAGCTTGACAATACAAGACAATCAGTGACTGTGGAGAAAGAAGATGTGTTTCTATTAGAAAATATTCAAAAGAGCGAGAGTAAGGACGCTTTTTGATTTGTGATGGAGCTCGCATTCACAATCATCTTGTTAATAAGCGAGTTGTGCAAAAATTTAGCTGTCGATAAAGTTCAATAAGTTGTGATTAGTAGGAACCATTAATTCCTATTGTCAAAATACTTTGCATATCGGTTCCTTCAAATGTGCACATCTGCTATTAATCGTATGCTCGAAACATCCTGCTTCCACTAACCTACATATGTCAAAATTAGAATGCACTGTTTCACACAGAAATATTATGAAACGTTCAAAATATTCGATGAAAATAGACTTTGACATTTTCATACAACCATTCTTGAAGAAAATCTGTAAATCTGTGTCACTAAAACAGATCAAAGGATGACAATAATGTGTGCGTGACATATAAACTCCTTTCTTTATACTAATTACATTAGAAGATACCGCGCAACTCTCTAGATGAAAACTGTTATTAAATTAGCTTTTATTTTTCGCCATAGCCACCGTTAATTTAGACATTTTTCTCACACGTTCAACAAAGCCAGTTAGCGAGCTTTCCAGCCTCCTATAATCAAACCATAAACTAAGTTATTAATCTTACATATTTCTGCACTACGATGTTGTAACATGTCATCTGTTGACCAAATTATCCAACAAATAAATACAGTAACAACGACGACAACAGCCATTATGTACTACACGAATTTTCTCCTAGGTGTAATTGGTCTTTCTATGAACATATTTGTTCTCACACGGCCCTCATTACGTAAAACACCATGTTCAATGTATTTCCTATCAGCAACATTTGCTAATCTATTTATTATACTAGTTATCTTACCAGTACGTTTACTTATCAACATCTATAGCATTGATTTGACAACTTACAATGTTGAATATTGCAAAATACAAACATTTGCTTCTTTTTCTACACGCGCTCTATCATGCTGGTTAATCACAATGGCGTGTATTGATCGATACCTTCATAGTTCGAACAATGCATCTGTGAGTCGTCTCAGTTCATCGAAAACTGCAAAATTATCGATCGGATTGCTTTGTGGTCTACTGCCTGTTATGTATTGTCATATGCTCATCTTCTACAATATAATACAAGTGAAAAAGCCATCTGGAACTATGACATATTCATGTACTCTTCACGATAGAACTTATTCAGCATTTCTTAATCTCTGGCATTTGATTATCTATTCAGTGTGTCCATCATTTGCAATGCTGATCTTCGGGTGTCTGACGTTGAGAAATATTCAAATAAATCAATGTGCCGTTGCACGAAATGCGAACAATGCTCGAAGTAATGGACGTAGAAACGCTACACTTTTACGTATGTTGCTGGCTCAAGTACTGTTAATTCTGATCACTACTGGTCCACGTTCTGCATATCAGATCTATGCACTGTTCACTAATAATGTTGTCAAGGACATAATTCGAACAAATATCGAGAATTCAGCCGGTACAATACTGGGTGTGATGTCATATTTTGCTCATTCAACGACGTTTTATACATTTACATTGAGCGGTAGCATCTTCCGAAAAAAAGTTCTCAAACTTTTTCTACGATGTTCGTTCTACAGAGAGAATCGTGTTCACACAGCCATCAACTGTAATCGCTAGACAGTCATCGACAAGCGAATGCCTATATTGTATTGAAGATTGTCAACAAGAAAAAGATCTTCTGTTTGCTTATCCTGTCCAATATTTCTACATTTATAATGATTGTGAAATAAACAATATGACAAATAGTTCGTTTTTTCTTCCAAAAAACATGCCGAGGTTATTGAGAAACCTATAAGGAGTAATAACAAGTTCTACTTTATGAAGTAATTTGAGAGAATATCATCCATAACGCACATACAACATCACAAGTAAACGAGTGTTTTTTCTTTCATCTAGAGTTGCAATTTACCATCAGTTTCATCCAAATAAAGCTAAAAAACGATTAGATGCGTTCCATTTAAACCGATCAAAACAAAACCTACTCGAGTGATCACAGTGAGTAATTGATCGACTTTCTTTGGAAAATTTTCAATTGGATCGACATATTTTGCACGTAGAAATTCACTTCTTTCATCTTCCGCGACTTTTTTCCAACCTAAAAATATCCACAAACTTTCTTTTTCTTAATTTTCAACTCAAATTCAGTCGAACCGATGAATTTTTGAAATCTTCTGATCATAAATGTCAACATCACTTGATTGTCCTTTTCCGCATTTTCTTTCGCCTGTCGAAAACTATCGTTAATAATTGTTATGAACATACTCAAACAGACAAAAACCACGATAAAAATGAACAAAGCAAATGCCAACGGTCCGAGAATCGGCGCAGCGGCAATTAACTCCTGTGTGTCGAATTTCATCAATGTCATTTCGAATAACATCTGGGCAGTTGATAAGATCGATGCACACGATGATATTTGAGACACAAATAATAAATAGAAAAGCGCAACAAACGACATGAAGACAATTGCGAACATGAATGAAAACGAGATTAATTCATTGGCGGAATAATGTAACGTTTGAATGAATAAACAAAGACGTTGATTAAAACGAAGCAGCTTCACAAATTTGATCGTTCCGAACAAACAACAAAAGCCAAAAAGATAAACGAGAATGTTGTTGATGTACGATGCCATTTGTAAATTAATATAAACATATCCGTTCGTTTCCGAGAATAATCGACCAATCCTTTGACATTCTTTGTATCTCCAAACGTAAATAGCCAAACTTGTCCATGAACAAACGAAAATACCTAATTCAATCCACGACCAGAATTGTTGAATATATGCTTTCCATTTCAATTTAATCAACAATTGAATTTCGATCCACATCAAATAAATGATCATTACCAGGTACAAAACATTACAAATCAATTGAAATGTTGATGTGAATGCTAAAGAAAGGAACATCTCAAATGCATTCTCAACTCATCGAATGACTTTACCGTAGAAATCCAAAGGTTCAAATCGTGAAAAAGTCGAAAGTCCACCGGTTGATAAAATTTCTAAAATAAAATTCATTTGTGTGAACAAATGAACATTGGGATTGTAAAGAGTAAGTTGAATAATCACAGCTCGTGTTTGTTTATCAATCCAATTCAGTCGACGAAGTTCACTTAAATTACTTTGAAGTTCAGAGAAACGTCCACGAAATTCATAAATATAACCACCACCTGGATAAATCCCTTGATCACCAACGTATGGATAAGTGTCGGATTGCTCACTTGTTTGATATTGAAATGACTTTCGAATCGACGAACTGAAATTCGTTTTTGTTGTCAAATTTGCCCATTGAGGTGAATAAGAATCTTTCTCTTCGTTTGAATAACTATAATCTTCATAACAAATCGCTTGGATTTGTTTTTCGTTGTTCGGACACGATTTTGTTCGAATTCGTAATTGTCTCATAGTTGCCCATCCAATCAAACGACTGGCTTTATCATTCAGATAACCGGAAAGATTTCGTGGTGTTTCACCGTTGTACCACTGCTGTGCGCGAAGATTTACAACAAAACTTTCTTGCAACCATTTCCAATAATCATCCACTGTGGCGATTTGGGTATAATCACAATCGCTTTGCCGTGAATTGAGAAAATATCTTCTTAAATGACGAACTTGAAGGGAAGGATCGGTTTGATCGTGTGAATAGATGACAGTGTAAAGAAGAGCTAAGAAACATAAATAAATAGTTGTTTCACGAATGATCGACCACATTCGAAGTTCTTTTAAACGTTGATCACGAGCATAGGCAACTTCAGCTTCAGTTAAACGATTTGCATAACTTAGACTTCGAAATTTCTTCTAAAACATTCTCAACTTTATTGTAATGAGAAAGCAAAGAAGAAACAAACCTTTGGAAAATGGAGATATTCTTCGTCGAAGTTCAATTTCAATGATTCATAATCCAAAAATTCAAGTGCTTCTTTATCTTCATTCAATTTACGACAAAAACAGGCAAAAACGATCGCCAGAATCAGAAGCTTCAAACAGAACAAGTTTCTCATGAAAATTCAAATAAATGAGTCTCACTTTCAATGGTTGCGTCAAAAGAATTGAAGAGAAAAGTCCCGTTAGAATTGAGATCAGCCATTTCTGGGTTTTTTCATCACCAAATTCAATTCCACGAGCGATGATAAACAAGATTGCAACTCCGACGAAAACAATACAAAGCCCATAGGCGATAAAGATACACCACCAAGGGAATGTCAACGAACTTTTTCTTTTCTTCTGTTTTTCAACATTCAATGGCCAATTTGGTTTCAGTTTGGATAAAGCTTGTTGTACGGGTGATAAATACGATCGACGAAGTCGAAGACGTCGAAATAGTTGAACAAGTAAAAGGCTCGGCACCAAAGCGAATAACTCCACAATGATTCCAATTGTTATCTAAATCACATTACATATGCACTGAACTTTTGGAGTTTTAGTGCCAAACATACCTGTTCACGACCAATGGAAAGTGAACCAAACGACAGACTGCCAGTAGAATTTGAACTTTTAGCTTTCGCTTCATTGGAAAGATCATAATACATGATGTTGAGGAACATCGAGACAATAAATAAAACGAAACAGCATGTACAACGCTGAACACGTGTAAATCGATTTGACGGTGGACGAGAAAAGATTGAAAACCATAAATGGCCATCCGAAATACTATGATATGTACTTTTTGCTAAAACAAATGAAAATTCTTGTTTTTCCAAGTCATTTGCAACAGGTAAAACACGCTCAATCAATCCATCATCTTTTTCAACTGCAAACCATTTTTGACAAATAAAATGGAATTTTTCCATCGTCTGAAGATCATGAACAATGATATACTTCAAATACCACGACGATGCCGATCCTTCACCGGAATTATCATGCCAGATGCGAATACAATTCAGATACCCCAATGACTTTGGTACAGCCATTAGAAAGGCATCGACGGAACCGCGTTGAAATACTTTCCGATGAGGATCACTTAATGTTCGAATATTTGTATCATCCACATCACCCGATAAGACAAATTGGACATTGGATTTCGTTCCTGCATCCTTTCGTAGGCCGGTAAAAACGATCATTTCGTAAAAGTATTCATCCGATTGATCATTGTCTGCTAAGGGTGTCACACCCAACTAAACAAACAAAGTTCACATTTTTTTTCTTTTCTCTCTTATTCCTTCTTACTTTTTCAATATCTTTTCGATCTTTGTATCTCGCATAAATCGTTATGATCATATACAAGACTAACACACAAATCACGGTTAAATAAATCGTTTTATTCTTCATAAAATCTGCATTAGCAAAAACATAACTCCAGTTTACTGGTGTCGGTAAAACAACAAATCCACCAGCAAAACTTGTCAAATGAGTTGATAGACATTGAGTTTGAAAACGATTGGTTAACGGTCCAACCTGCAACACGAATTTCAATGATCTCCAAGAGAAAAAGATATTGTCGAACTTACGATTAATCCATCATAGTTCCATTGATTGGATTTCTGCCGGTAAAAACAACACGCCGAATAGATTCGCAATTTGTAATCAGCTGTGAAACGAACTGGTTCATCGCGAATTGGTGGACTCGTCATTGATGATGAATTCGAACACATTGTTTCTTGTTCTGTTGAATTCAATTCTCGTAAACCAATCACGACCGCTGTGTGGCCCACGGATTGTTGATTATCAAGGAAATATGTATAAATGCCTTCATTGGACAAATCCGCTAGAGGACAAAAGGTTTTCCATCCATCAATTTGTTTGATGGATCTATTCAATTGAGGAATTTGATCGAATTTATAGATGAATAAATAAGCGAGTGAAGAATTCAATGGTTGAATTTCAAAATGAATTGATTTTGGGACAGAACTTGTGACGTTGGCATAATGAAAAGAAAAGACTTGTTGATGGGGAGTTGAATTCATCGAAGTCACATTTTGGAAAACCATTTCGGGAACGAACAGGTTCGGATCACGAGGAATGAAGATTTGAATCGGATCTGAAACATTTGTCTGAATTGAAAGTTCGTTCTCATCTCGATCGAACAGAGAAAGCGTCACCGATCGAGACAAATTGGTATCTTTTGACGAAGATTTCCACTGAATAACCGTCGCAAGCGACTCCAATGTTGACTAAAATACTCCAAAATCATTGTTGATTTCGATCAGAAAAGAAACGTACTCGAATCAGGACTGTTGAACCGGCACTTTGGTTGAGAACAACATTTGCAGGAAGTTGAATTTGTGCATTATCGCTTTGTTGAATCAATTTATTCGATACAGAATTGATTGATACGGCTTCGATTGACATAAATGTCTGGCTTGTGTTTGTAACAAAGCTTTGTCCGATATTTAAATGAATGTTCAATGATGAACTTATTAATCTCATCAATTCCTCGTATTCATTGAGAATTTGCTGAGCTAACTGATTTTGATAGTAGAGATTGCGATTCTCGTCAATCGTCTCCCATGAAAAGTCACTTCCATCAGCAAACAAATCTTTTCACAAACATGACAATGCCTATTCAATGACGAATCATGTGACCTTACTTGGATTCGACCAATCAAATTCCACATCGGTGTCATAATTATCAGGAAATTGTCTTGCACGTGCTGAATCCAAATCTAGTACAGATGTTCGCTCTTGTAACGGCCCATTTACACCCTAAAATTGTCACATCCCTCACCCGCATCCGTCAGATGAAACTAATCTTACAGCTAGAACATTTCCAGCACATTCCATCAGCTGAGCTGCAGCCATATGAACGTCTTCATATGGAATTCTCGTTGACATGGATAATAACACATTGGACAATTGATAACATCGATTCGATGCGATTGCCTAGAAGCGCAATCATTTAAGAAGAAGAGAACTCTTTGAAACTCACCAATGTCGTTCGTGTTAATTGATTAGTTGCTGAAGTTAATTGTGCTAATGCTGTCGCTTGTAATTTAATACTGTTCGACGTGGTTATCGAAAGCTTTGTTATTGATTTGATCAAATATTCTCGAGTATTTGCATACATGTTCACTTCTGTTTCATATTCTTCCAAAGCGGATTGGTTCAATAATGACATTGAATTCTAGAGAGGAAAAATTCTTATTGACAAGGTCTCCGATTCGAAAGCTATTTTACTTCGTGTGATATTTGTTCTCCCAATGATGAAATTGAGATACTTGTTTTTGGTATTCCGTCTAGAAAAGATTAGGAGAATGAAGATTTTAAAATCATGTTGAATTTTACTCGAAAAGACATTGCCAATCAGGTCTTCATTAACTTGATTGAATTCTTGTGAAAGTGAAATGATCAATTGTCCAACAATATTTTGATTTTCACTTGCAAGTAACCGAACAATCGGGTTTGTGGTGATTTCAGTCGATGGATATTGCAATTGAGAAATGAGATTCGAAATTGCCATTGAATCCGTACGAACTTGAACTTCGGTTAAAAAGTATTCAGTTGTACAATAAAATCTGTCTCGAATGTGAACGGATAAGCGAAGTATTGATGTTTGATTATCAATTGCCGGTAATCGAACTTGAAATGTCGAGTCAGATGAAAATGCGACTATGATTTTCTCCGAGTTATTCGTCCATACTACAATGGAATATGCTGTTTTGCAAGAAAAACATCTGAAATAATACTGACCATAAAGGGCGTAATCTCGAATATCGTCGCTGTCGAACCATTGTGAGCAAGAAACAGTGAATATTGAATTGATTGTACCATTGAGAGGATCGATGGAACAGAATCCATTGTCGGGTGGCTGATTAATGCGGAAAATTAACGAACTTGAAGTTGTGTCATTCACAGATGAATAAACAGTTTCAAATCGCCACAAAGCAACTTGAGGATGCGCTAGGAATAAACCATTGGTTGCTGTGAAATTACTTGTATTTTGCCCTAAAATAAAATAACTTGTCTTTTCTTCTCGACACCTATTAGAACTAATTTACCGAAAAACCAAACGCTTGTTTCGTTGAACAAAATCCATTGGGTGACATTCGAAGATGAGTTCCTTTCGCCATAATAAACATTCCAGGTAATCTGTTGCAATGTCATGCAGTTGCCATTGCACACAGAAAATAGAGCGACTTGAGTTGTTGGGTTAACAAGTTGAATTTCAACGTCGCGTGAACATATCGTTCGAATAACACACCTATTCATACGAAATGATATTTTGTTCGTTTTGATTTAGGCAAGAAAGAACTATATTGAAGAGTTTACCCGATTAGAACTGTATATGGACGAGTGTCATCGACTGTGACAAGTAAATAGCCAGTTGTCTGAAGAGATGGATTCTGATGATTTGTCATTCGAACCATAAATTCGTATGTCTGATTTAATTCTAAGGAATTCGATCGAAAAACGATGGATGATTTGATGGAATCGTTGAAAAGAAGATTTCCACGATTTGCTAAACATGAAGCATTTGATACATCATTTCTCATATCGTCGATAGTTAATAGCGAGCCATTTAGACTTGGAAAATCACTGAAACCGTAGATTCGACAATAATATTCATAAGTCCAATCCTGTTTCACAATAAAAAAAAATAGACTATGCAACTCTTCATATATCTGACTTTTAAGCATACCGTAAAATTAAAAGTGATTTCATCGGGATTAACCGAAAATCGACCAGGATTCAATTCCAAATTTTCTCCTCTTGCATGTGTGATCATTGATGTGCCGTATTCAATTAGATTTGCTTCAATTTCTGATTGAATCATTCGTACATACACGGATGATGTCATCGTCACACTGGAGAAATTAAGTGTAGTAATGATCAGTTTTAATTCATACGTTCCGTATGGTAGCGTCCGTTCCGGAATGTATAAATCAGTTAATGTTGTTTCTATTGACGAATCCAATTGTATTGGATTTGAGCAGTTCAAACTACAACTTGTAATTGCCCATTGGGCAACGATAGATAACGAACTATTACATGCAAATTCAATGAGTGAATCAACATATAGACTTTCGCTGCGTCGAACTTCAATAGGAGACAATAGTGTAGACGAACTAGGTGTAAGTGTTACTCGTGGAATAAAACATGATACTACACTGTTCGTAATAGTTGTTGTAGTACTTGTTGAAGTACTAGATGATGATGTGGTACTACTTGAGGATGATGTAGTAGTTGTTGAGGTACTAGATGATGATGTGGTGCTGCTCGATGATGATGTGGTACTTGTTGAGGTACTGGAGGATGATGTGGTACTACTTGAGGATGATGTAGTAGTTGTTGAGGTACTGGTGAATGATGTGGTGCTGCTGGATGATGATGTGGTGCTACTCGAGGATGATGTAGTGGTTGTTGAGGTACTGGTGGATGATGTGGTGCTGCTCGATGATGATGTGGTACTTGTTGAGGTACTGGAGGATGATGTGGTGCTACTGGATGATGATGTAGTAGTTGTTGAGGTACTAGATGATGATGTGGTACTTATTGAGGTACTGGAGGATGATGTGGTGCTACTGGATGATGATATAGTACTTGTTGAGGTACTAGATGATGATGTGGTACTACTTGAGGATGATGTAGTACTTGTTGAGGTACTAGATGATGATGTGGTACTACTTGAGGATGATGTAGTACTTGTTGAGGTACTGGTGGATGATGTGGTGCTGCTGGATGATGATGTGGTGCTACTCGAGGATGATGTAGTGGTTGTTGAGGTACTGGTGGATGATGTGGTACTACTTGAGGATGATGTGGTGCTGCTCGATGATGATGTAGTACTTGTTGAGGTACTGGTGGATGATGTGGTGCTACTAGATGATGATGTAGTGCTTGTTGAGGTACTAGATGATGATGTGGTGCTACTCGAGGATGATGTAGTGCTTGTTGAGGTACTGGAGGATGACGAGGTACTCGTAGTACTGCTAGAAGACGTTGATGTAGTTGTGGCGGTGCTCGTAGTGCTCGAGGTACTTGTCGAAGTTGTCGTTGTTGGATCCAGAACGTAAAATGACCAAAATATTGGATCAGTGATCGGACTAGATTCGGCACCTTTCAATATTCGTAATTAAATCTATATTTTAGGTCAGAGAATTATATGATAGTTACTTACCACAAAAATCTTCTCCGGAGGCAACACCTGCAATAGAGAAGAAATATGAAAAAATTCAGTTAAAACGCGTGCACTATACCAGAATCCATCGTAACATAATATAGGTGTCCAGAAATCCATGGCGAAGCAGTAAAATTAATGAAGATGGTAGTATTCTCGTAAATCACTTCTGGTGCCCGACTACAATCAATCGTTCGAACAATTGTACTTGTATTAGCGTCGTTAAAATAAATATTAACACCGGAGCGTCTGGGCCGGTAGGACTTTTGTGTCGCTGGAAAATGAATACATTTCATTATGTTTGAGAAAAGAATGGAATGAGTTTTGAGTTGTGAATGTATACGTTTTCTCTTTGAGCTAATTACATGTATAACTAGGTAGTTTTGTACGTAAAAATGCGATTCTTGATTAGAGGAAATAGAGGACAACATAATGTCATCGATGCTGATACTTTTTCCAGAAAAATTCGCTATATGAATAAGAACAAAGTGAACACTTTCTCTTTATCTTTACTCACATAAGGATATTTAGGTAAAATATATTACTTTGTAAAGAGAAAAGAGTTTGATCTCGGAAAATGAAGACAGGTGGTGCAGGCGTGGGTCGTATGATCACAGGTGCAACGGAGTCAACCAGAAACGTGATACACCATTGATTAGATAAAACATAGGTGTTATCTATGGCAGAAGCACAGAAAACTTGTGGGCCCGATTGATTACTAGTAGGAATCCAGTTTACATTGATTTGGTAGACATCTAAAATACTAGAGGTAAAGCGAAGAAAGTGATCGAACTGGTGCATATACTGACCAATTCCCACATTGAGAATACTACTCTTCTGAAGGCCAACTGGAGAGCTAGTAAAAAAATTCAACTATACTCTTTCCGGGACAAGACACTTGTGCCGTAACATTTACAGTAAGAGACACTCCACTAGGTGCACTAATGCAAGCTGAAACAATAAATGGCTATGTACGATCAAATGATATATGGGAAAGATTCATATCTTACATCGATCTGGCCGGCCGTTAATAATGACTGGTGGTGTAGTACAATTGCTTATTGGAGAATAGCCATAGAATAAAAACTGAAGAGGAGTCGAACTCATTGGCACCGTTGACAAACTATTGAAATAATCTTCAATTTGTAATAATACTGCTGCATACGCATTAGCCATTGTAAGATTAAATATAATTGTACAATTGTTTTCAATGAGAGTAGCACCAGGCACACCATTGCACACATCACCGCATTCACTAAATCCATTAATATTAGTCAGCGAATTTGTTGCCCAGCGGCATCTTATTGAATCAGTTAAATCATAGTCCACGACTGGAACAACATATACGTGTTGAACATTTATAACTTTGTAAATAACCGGAATAATCATAGCGACCGGACTACTATTAATATAACCATCTGGGCGAAGCACAGTGCTAATTCGACTGACAACATTCACCGCTCCTGTACTTCCAGAGACAAGATTAGGGGCCCAGGTGTTACTACCGGTCTGAGCAATACTAAATGAAACATTCAGCGGTATGCTTAATGTTCGAGAATCCTCCCCGGTAGAAATATCCGCCAGTCCACTAAAATCAGTGCAATATGTCCATAAACTCATATTGGGGAAATAGCCACAACTACTATTCAAACAAGCCACATTTCCTGAACTGCTAATCATAGGAGATTTAGCAGCAATAGTAGCCGCACTACAACGAGGTGTGAAAAAGCTGTTGCGCCATGACCATTGTTCACGTACAATGATAAAAGCTGTGGAACCTGATGGAGTCTTATTATAAGCACGCCTATAAAATTCAATTATCACATGAATCTATTCAGCATTCGTAGGCAACTAACCATGTAATCGTTCCGCCACGAAAATGACTTGTATGTATTATTGATACCGCTATACATAAGTAAACAAAAAATAAATGATCGATCGTCATCTATTAAAAAAGACAATCTGTTTGTTATACATGCAAAGAACAACGTGGGAATATTTATATACTACGATAATTTGATCGTGATACTAAGGGTGGTGTTGCGAAAGTGCATTACAATGAAGAAAAGAAAAGATATGTACACATATGAACTGTGCTGATCTTTCACGCTTTATCATGAATAATTGACTAACACAAGCGAGTGACTACAGGTGAAGAGTTTGAGTATATCTCTTAGACCTGCGCCAAGGATAAAGCGGAAGATAATATGTTCTTTCACATGTGAAAATCTGTCGCATAAGAATAAGAGTTTCAATAACGTACTGAACAGATTTATAATGAACGATTTTCGCTAATTATACTGACGGAAAATCATCCTTTCAGCATACTGAATGTCTCAATGGCGTTTTTGCCTAGAGTGCTTACGAATCGAAATTAAACAGACTTGAAACATACTATGCGATCTTCTTCTGAACTCTCGAATGACATTCCGTGTAGGTAGCACAAGGCTTTTCAGGGCGTTATAATCTGGAAAGAAATGTTCATTGGACTCTAGAGAGACTTTTTAAAGATTTCAAAGAAAAGAGAGATTTTTCAGATGGACATCGTCTATGTAAAAACTTCTGAAAATCGAATATGTATTATCTGAGACGATACGTGCGCATCTGTTTTTGAACTTCACAATCATATATTTTAATTTCGTGTGAGAGGCCAGAAACGTGAAACACTTAGATGATTAGGTTAATGGGAAAAAAGGGAAAAGGTTTTTGGTTTTCTTTTTCTCAAGATAAATTTAAGCGACGTTTGTCTCGTAAAAAAAAGTGGTTTCTGCGAAAAGCTTTCTTCCATGAAAATAAAATATAGAAAATACGACGTTCGACTATTTAGCTATTTCCAACATTCGGGAACCAATTCAGTCCGATCAAACTGTTGCATTGAATAAATATAAATGAAGCCTTTTAGTTGGTATCCTTTCTGTTATTATTCGATCAATACGATATCGAATAAAAAGGAAATAAAGATCTTTCGAGCTCATTAGAAAGAGAGAAGCTGTAAAAAAAACCCAGAAAACATTGCCACTGATGTAAACATAACAACAACAGAAGCGAGGAGAAACAAATACGTAGCACAGTTATTACAATTTTGACTCAATTGATGCGTTACAGGATTTTCTGTGAAAAGACTTTTTCATCTACATGACTTTTCTGAACATTTCTTCCTTTTTTCTCGGAAAATCTCTCTAGACACAAATAATGTTATTGAAAAAGAAAAATATGAGAGAAAAAGTAATTTAAAGTTAGTGTTTCCAGACTATGATCTTATATAAACGTTCTCCCAGGCACATACTAATTCGGGGAAATAACGTCGACGTTTCTCATCGAAATTCTAGGAAATTGCCAATGTACTGTCAAAAAAATCAGATATGTTGACAATGATAACTACAAAAGAAGAAATGAGGATGAATGGAATGTGAGTTACCGAAAAATGCACAGAAATCGCATCAACACGCTCATAGACACTCAGCAGTCATATAGCAGTATATAATTAACCGTGAGTCTTTTCATATTTACGCACAAAAAAAAACTGTACAAATAAAGTCGTGTTAACAATCAATATGCGCCATCGTTTATATTCTTTTTATCTAAAACAAACCATCTAGTGATTGTTATAGGAAGATCAGCAACACAGAACATCATATTTCTGTTATATGATTCATTTGACAAAATACTTGTAACATCGGATGATTACGTGCAAACAGGTAAGAGAGAAATATAAGTACTCATGCGCGCCATCAGGTTGGATCAACGAAAAACAAGTTATACAACGTTTTTCAACATATCAATATTAGGATTCGCAAGCGTATTTATGATATGTATAGATTATAGTGCAGTAGTTCATACATTCAAAAAATGTTTTGAAAAAGCTGTTATCATTTGTGAACTCAGTTCGTCAATGTTCTCTGAACGACTGTATCTATAGGATAACTTAGTGCAGAGAAGCTCGTCATCGATCAAAAGTGCAATGATGTTCGATCTATTCACGAATTTGATCATGTGAATTGACAATCTTATTGTTTTGTGATATACCATCCAAATCGCCAAGTATGCGTTCATTGTCATTGGAAAACACTTTCTGATGATATGATAAACCATCTTCAGTGGCAGTGGCAGATTTTCATTATGGGCATCGTTTGGATATTGCTGTAGTGAATTATAATTCTGGTAATAGTCCAATATTTTTTGATTACGACAATGCAAGTTTTGTTGATAAATTGATATTTAATATTGATTATCGTTGGAAACACCAATAGAGAACACTCCTCCCGTCTTGTTTTCTTCTTCAGCACTCCTATCGCTATTCTACACTACCGAAAACGTTCCTATTCATTAGCATACAAAGAAACTGCTGACAAACGCTTGCTGATGTCGTATCGCAGATAAAAATAGTTTACTTTAGGGACACACATTCACAGTACACACTGCTTGTTATGGGCTTCAAGTTTCGAGGATTAATGTGTTGGAGTTAAACATATGGCAGTAATCAAATAAATGACGTTAGAAATATTCACCATTGATGTGAATCATGTAGGAGTATTTATCTGAGATACTATCACTAAACTACGTCAAATTCACCTTGAAATCTTCAAATTTGCTTATCATTTTCTGTTGACTTGTTGTCATTATATTTAAACACGTAAATATTAACAATTACCTTGCACAAAAGAAACATTCACAATGAAAGTCGAAAGTTCTATTTTGATTGTTTGCATCATTGTTGGCTTGTTTAGTAAGTCGATAGGTCAAAATTCATAGAATAATTCTCGTATTTCTTAGGCGAAATCAATGGTGCAAGTTCAAGTGTTAAGCCAACAACAAAAAATACTCCACCGCGAACGACTCCGCGCACAAATACTCCACCGCGAACAACTCCGCGCACAAATACTCCACCGCGAACAACTCCGCGCACAAATACTCCACCGCGAACAACTCCGCGCACAAATACTCCACCGCGAACAACTCCACGCACAACACCTCGCCCACGATATTCATACTGTTACACATGCCAATACGGTTTTTGTCCACTTCCATTTCGACGTAACGGCGCTTATGTGCGTGAGGCAATTTCGCCTACTGGATATTGCGTGAAAATTAGTGATACAGCACTCACTAATTCACCAGCACGTCGCGATATTGGTACAGGTTATTGCGTGACCAGTGGATGTGGTTGGAGATTTGTCGATGGAGCTAATAAATATGTTTGTTGTTGTTACGGTAATTTGTGCAATTCGGCTCTTCCAACATCGAAATTAAATATTTTTATTTTATTCTTATCAGTTTCATTAATCACATTTATTAAAAGATATTTTTGAATTTTTCCATTGAAATAAAAAGAAGTGAAATTCGACATGAGGTTTCTCATCGTCTTTCTTAGAACTTCATTGAGAGATGATCAAATGGCGAACAGAAAACATCATGAACTTCTACTAGACCTTACTCAGCAAAACTGTTCAACTTATCTCATTTAGTTTTTATTGAATTTATTCAATATTCAATATGTTCACATCTTCTAATCTTCGTATTTCCCTCCATATTGAATCAGCTGCTTGATATATAATTTGTTTTAAACGTTTCATTTCATTTCTATGAACGAGTTTTAGTACAGCCAGAACTTCGTCAGTGTTCGGCGAAATTATACGAGGCTGAGCATTATCATCTTTAAGATTAAGAATCTTCACCAAACTTTGATACTGCTCCGGATGATATTGTTGTATGAAACCACAAGTCACATCATGGCGCAAGTGGTAATGGATTGCATTGGGATGGAATAATGGAGTGAGTTTCACCGGATATTTCTTACTGATCTGTTCAATTCGCTTGTCAGCTTGTACAAAGTATTCTCCTCGGAAATGCCAATGGACACCATCATAATCAGAGACACGTGGATCAAAACTATATCGTTCTTGTTCACCCTTACGTGGAGTCAAAAAGAAAGTTGTTCCATCATTAACAAATGTTAAATGTTTGTACCAACTGTGTAGTGTTGAGAATCGAATGATGTCTCTATCGAGCTCACGACGACTGTAATTTACATATTGTTTGACCAACTTTCGAAGGCGTTGGTTGCATTCAAAAAACAACTGAAAATATTCGGCTGGCTGTAAATATGCCAAAATGCAGATAATCAATTCATTCGGTAGATGTTCGAATGTTGAAAAATTCGTCATGATTCATGTGTAAATTGTAAACTGACGTATTTATATTGCAAAAGTAGATGTGATTCATTGAAATTGCACAATTTTATGCAATGAAAAAGCAAAATATAAGAACCACAAGTGACAATGTGTTACATACATAGAACGCAAATGCTAAACTAAACTGTAGAGATTTTAAATTAGAAAATTTTCATATGGTTTCAGCATCATATATTTGTATTTACACAAGATTAAAACGAATGGAAAAAAATACGATCAGGACAGTGCTTAGACGAAGTCAATGATAAGAAACTTTGCACACATAGCTGTTTTGTCTAGATTTGCATTGACAGAATGAGTGGCAACGCATTCCACCACGTTTAGAAGATCTGGCAAATGAATCCATCCTCGAGGTATTCTAAGTCATTTGGATATTCGGCATGTTCACATGGGTCTCAATAGGCGGATCGATAAACTTGTCGATCCACTTACCAATATTTATCTCGTGTTTTTCTCAAGAGAATACTTCATATCACGTACTACGCGATTATCGGTTGTTGCTTCTTGTAGCTTCGGTTTAAATCGTTCAATTGGCTCGTGTTTTCAATCAACGCGTATCCAATTTGAAATACTCTATTTGTCGTAGAGTTTCATTCCCAACAATACGATAAATTAGTGCTGTTCGATCACTCCATCCATATTTCGTGGCTACGAATTGCTATTGTTTGAATCGTCCAGCTCTCGATGTTCTATCGACTACAGTCAAAAGCTAATCAGATTTTATTGCATTTCTATCAAATAAGTATATTTCTATCTGATAAATTGATGAAGCGAATGTGGAAAAATAGGAGGAAAATGTTCCTTGTTATACATTGCTGCAATATACTAATTTAGGGCAAATTCTGACTGCTCTTCTTGATTTTATTATAGCACGTTCCACTCGGTTATCTTTTGCTACAATTCAGCGTGTAGTTATTATATAAAAGTATCTCATTTCCTGTTTGCACTGAGAATCGCTTTGGCATCAACATAAATATACTCTGAGAAATATATAACTCTTTCATAAATAACTCATAAAAATGGGAGAACAGACGCGTACGAAGCGTCTTCAAAACTTTTTCATTGAATTTAATCTATTTAAAAGTGGTGAAAACAGCGCCGAAAACCTGCGAATTCAACGCTGGTCAACGCGTTTATACATCCCAATTTTGTCCTTCTTAATGACGATTCTTCTCGTTTATACATCACTGCAAACTCAATCGAAACAAATTCAAATCCCCAATCCATCATTGCAAACTTATACTAAACTTTACCAAACATATCCGAACGCAGAATGTCCTTGTAAACAAATATCCATATCATACAAGACGTTTACTGAACTATCCGCCAAATTTCATCAAGTTTGCTCAAGTGATTTTGTATCGGAAGAATGGATTCGACTTCTTTATGAGGCAAACTCGACAACCTTACGTTACGTTGTTGATTTCCGTGCAACTGCATTCAACCAGTTTCAAATTCTTCGACAGTTATGTCAGTTATCTTCGACGACAATTAGTGATGGAATTGAAGCATTTTATCAGAAGTCTTTGATTTCAGGCAAATTGTTAAATAAAGATTTATTTTCGGCGCAAGTTCAATCAGATATTTCGACATTTACGAGAATAACAACTGAAGAGTTTCTTCGCTCGTTAACGTTTATGCGTTCATTCATGAGTGGAAACGAATTGTTAACTGTAATTGAAACCGCCTATACGCTCATAATTGACTTTCAAGTAGAAAATTTAGTGTAAGTATTCTAATAGCTATACTTGGAAAAGTAAACGAGAATTGATTTTGTAGGCCACCACTAATTACAAACTTTTATACTGAAATCGATGGAACACATTGTGGTTGTGACTCCGATTTATCCTGTCACATGACTGTAGGGTTTTATGATTTTGAGATGACAAGTAGATATGATGCAAGTTATAACCTTACTCAAGTTTATCCACGAGAATTTCTCTACGGCTGGAAGGTCGCTTGTTGGCCAATGGAATCTCTTCTTCTATCAACATTGGAAAGTTTCTATAACCAAACCATTGTTAATCGCATCGTTTTCTATATGAATTCATCAGCACTCTCTGGTCATTTCAAAGCATTGAATTCGTCGAGAGATATTCATTTTACATCGAATGAGATAATTGAAGATCTTGCCAACGAATTATTTGTTGATCAATGGTTACAGCAATCGAATTACTCATCGTATTACTCGCAATGTCAACCACAGTATTGTCAATATGACGTCAGTGAAAGACCTGCAGTGTTATATATTATTACATCGTTACTTGGTCTTTACGGTGGGCTATCGGTTGTTCTTCACCTAATTATTCCTTATTTCATTTCATTTATTCTTCAACATTTACAACGGCAAACAGTTGTTCAAGAAGAAACGGTTCATCATGGTAAGTACCATTGTAGGAAATACGATCTGATAGAGAATGTCAGAATTCGGAATAACACTATTTTAGATTGGTCGCTGCGGCAATGGATTCGAAAGATTGTCGACCTTATACTGCATTTAAATCTGTTTCGATCGGCATTACGAAATGCGCCGAATGATTTGAAACAACAAATTTGGTCAACGCGACTTTATTTATGTCTGATCTTTCTTTCTTTTTCCATTCTAATGGTTTACTCATCAGTTATCCAACAACGACGAATAATTCAGCTCGCTGAACCATCATTCGAAACTGTTCAACAATTAGAAACAAAAGGACATGTTCTAACATGTCCATGTGCATATTTATCGATTAATTATGAATATTTATTCGAGTTACAAGCGAATTATCATCAAGTCTGTTCAAGTGAATTCGTCTCGGAACGATGGATCGATTATTTAAATACAATTGCCGATAGTTCCGAAGATAACTATGACAATCGAGATTTTCGCACGATAGGTTCTTCAATATTTCATTTACTTAGTTCGATGTGTACTTTGTCTCAAACCACCGTTCTCAACGCGCTTTACGAATTTAACCAAAGGCAATTGATAACCAACGAACTTCTTTCGTTGGACATATTTACAAATCAAATCAATGCAATCATTCAACAGTTTCAAATTACATTACCAAATAATTTATTGAGTTTACTTCAACTAATACGTAACTTGACCAATGTCAATCAATTCATTTCGGGTGGTTATTCAAACTTCGCTGTTCTGTATTCTGACAATCAAACGATTCCCTTTTTACAGTCGGATGGCTTCGTCTCAACTTTTGCTAATGGAACTACAACCAAATGTTACTGTTCGAATGACTTCACATGTCAAACTGAAACATCCCTCTTTCATTACAACGAAGATCATCAACCAAATGGATCCTATTATCATGTCCCAAACTTTTACACTGGATGTTATCCAATCGAATCGTTACTTCGGTCAACATTACAATGCTTCTACGAGAATAGTCCATGTTTTGATATTGTGAATAACATCACTGATGAGGAACTTTATCAAAACTTTACTCGATTGAATTCGAATAGATCCAGTCGATTCGCGATAAATATTACAGTTGATGACCTTCTTCAACAGTTATTTATTGATTCCTGGTTGACAACACTGAATTATTCATCGTATTTTCAGAAATGTCAACCAATTTATTGTGAATATACGATTCTTCAACGAAAAGACGCAGTAGAAATTGTAACAACTATAACTGGTCTTATTGGAGGATTAGCGACAATATTTAAACTCGTCTCACCATACGTCATTTCCATTATTTTTTATTTAATTCGTCGTTTCATGGGAATTGAGAACTCGCAAAGTAAGATGAAATATAGTCTCGTTGTCTTCGAATGGTTTGTTTTTTTTTCTTCAGATGAAAATAGACATGACTCGCTTCATTTGCGTGATGTGCCGAGAAAATTGCGCGAAATTTTACTGAATGTAAACATATTCGAAGGTCCTGATAATCTGACAATGGATTCGAATAAAATTCGCCGAGAAAAACAATCCACACGTTTATATTTTATTTTACTTTGCATCGCACTTTCGATTCTCATCATTTATACTTCATTAGTTTATCAAAATAATCAAATTGTAGTCGAAATATCTTCTCTCAATAGTTTTCTTCAGTTTCAAGATTCGTACAATTCAACCTTCGTTGACTGTTCATGTACAACACTATCGATCATTCAATCGACATTCTATGAAATCGAACCAACATTTCACGCGATATGTTCCAGCGAATTTATCGCTGAACCATGGTTAGACATGTTATTGCAAAGTTCATTTCATAATGGAACGCCAACGAATGTGTTTACTTTTAATGATACAGCATTCGCACAATTTCGGACTTTGTCAGTGCTATGCGACTTGACTAAACAAGTTGTTCTTGACGGACAAGAGTTATTTCTTCAAACAAAAATCGTATCATCACAAATGCCGAATAAAACCTTGTTTGATTTGCAAACAGCTGAAATTATTGATGAGTTTAAGTCGTCATTGCCGAATACATTTCTCCATAATCTTCAAATGTTTCTTGGTCTTGCACAAGGAAATGGTTTTATTTCGATCTATTCAGCTGATTCGTATCTTTATGTTAGAGATCTCGATATTGACCCAAGTATTTATCTGAAATCTCAATCTTACGACGATTGTGATTGCGCTCTATCATCTGCGTGTGTCCAAAATTCCATTCCAAATATCGACGGATATTTCGTTGGATGTTCACCGTTAGAATCTCTTCTTCAATCGACATTTCAGTGTTTATATAATCAAGAGTGTATTCTACAAATGTCATCTGCGATTAATTCATCATTTCTACCGACTCCACTCAGTCAAATTCAATCAAAATATCCAATTAACAGTAAAGTTGACGAGATTGTTGAACAAATGTTTATCGAATCGTGGTCAATAAATATTTCATACGAAAACTTCTTCGACCAATGTCAACCAAAATCATGTTCATATATTGAAACTGAACGATACAATATTGTTTATATGATGACGATATTACTTGGTCTTTATGGTGGAATAACTGTTTTATTAAAACTTACTGTTCCTCTATTCATTCATCAATTCTCTAAATTTATCAATGGGCTTCGTCGTAGAAATCATCGAATCGTGCCTGTTTGACTTCTCTCGACATCATAAAGTGTCCTGCGTCAAGTCAGATTGCGACGCTTTCATTATTTTCTTGCACTTAATAAACTAGGGTGTGAGGATGTGGTATCTGTCAAACGACATTCACATCAATCACGCCCACACTGTCAGCATATAATCTTCAAACGAGTACGACAAAAAAGGCCTTGCATGAAAGGTAGTAATCAGCGTATGAGTGGGCTCCGAGGGCTATTTTCTATTTCTTCATAAACACAATGAATAATGCATTCGAAAATTTCTATAAGTATGCGTATATACTGTAAGACCTTGAGTTGAAGACGGCAATTAATGCATGACTGAATTCAGAAGGTTATTTTTTGCTCTTTAATAAATATAATCAAGGGTTCCTCTCTTTCGAATCTTGTACAAGTAAATATGCACTTATCTGCTCTTTGACTATAGCTATAAAAGGCGAGCTCAAGTCGCAACTAGTTTGTTTCAGACTCATATATTCGTCAAATATTTCTTCAAACTTCGGTAAGTCGAACTATGAATTAGTAAACTGATAAAGCGCATCTTGCGAGGACATGGCGGAGAGTTGTATATCCATCGATGCATGTATACTTGTAATAGTCGTTCTATGCTTGTCTGTTTTAGCGTATTCATCTGAATAAATAGGTTTTATTGTAGAAACATGAAACGATTTTCTGCAACGACATTGGCGGTGCTCTTAGTATTAGTGTTGGTAATATCGATGAGTGACAAGGCCGAAGCTGCTAACTGCTGCTCAATCTTTAACACCAAGTGTTGTTGTCGTAACAAAGCTGGACAACAAGTCGGCGTTAAAATTAATATTTTCAACGGCTTACAATTTACTGCCGATGGAGGCACCTGTGAGGGATGTCAAATTGGTTGGAAATGTTGAGCACACATTCTGTTAGAAGAAAAAATATCAAAAGACTTCTTCGATGTACTTTTTCTCACGTTCTTAACTGTAACGACAAACTGAATGAGTAGCTGACTGCTTCTCACGGTATCGATGTTTATTGACTACTCTACATGACCAGAATGTATCTCTTTCACAATAAAACACGCGCTTATATAGAGAAGAGGAAAGAAAGGTATGACCCGGAGATAGTATGATACAAAGGTGAGAGAATAAAGAACAGAAAGAGATGAACGATACATGGGGTGGAGAATTTCAAATTATTACCAGTTTTCAAAACAATGTGTTAAAATTTTTCAAATTTCCACACTTCAAATCTTTTAAATTACTAAAACTTCAAGTGCTAACTGGTTGTTTATTTCAGTTGAGATATTAGAAGTTTTTGATATCATGCGAAAATTTCTACTGATTTCCCTATAGTTATTGTAAATGGCAGATATCAGATATTTAACATCATGGGTCATCAAATCATGCTAAATGACTTACTTTTAAGTCTATAATCACTTATCCACTCTCAAACTATTCAACTGATTAGATTTCAGACATCAGATATTTACTTTCATCTCCTTCTGATTCGATAAAATTGCAAACAAAATAGAACTATCGGTTACGTATTTATACTGACGAAGTGATTAGCGTGTTGTTAGCAAGAGTTAAAACGATTAGAACTTTATTTTATAAAGCGTATACGATGAAAAATCTCAACAAAAAACGATATAAAATGGTGAAGTACATATTGAAGTAATTTTTACACTGCTTGTTCAAATGAACTAATACCAGTTGTCATACAATTTTTCAAGTGAAAGAGAAGTGTAAAAAAGATAGTTGACTTTGGGTAACTATATCCTCTGAATGAGTTTTTAAATTTTGACATATAAGCGAACATTTGTTCAGCAACTTGAGTATTAATCGAATCGTAAATATTGTGGTGAGATGGATCATCAGGTCTCATAATTGTTCTACACATATGTCTCTTATGATTTTTCGCATGAAANATTTTTAAAATCATGTTGAATTTTACTCGAAAAGACATTGCCAATCAGATCTTTATTGACTTTATTGAAATCTTGTGAAAGTGAAATGATCACTTGTCCAACAATATTTTGATTTTCACTTGCAAGTAACCGAACAATCGGGTTTGTGGTGATTTCAGTCGATGAATTTTGCAATTGAGAAATGAGATTCGAAATTACCATTGAATCCGTACGAACTTGAACTTCGGTTAAAAAGTATTCAGTTGTACAATAAAATCTATCTCGAATGTGAACGGATAAGCGAAGTATTGATGTTTGATTATCAATTGCCGGTAATCGAACTTGAAATATCGAGTCAGATGAAAATGCGACTATGATTTTCTCCGAGTTATTTGTCCATACTACAATGAAATATGCTGTTTTGCGAGAAAAACATCTGAAATAACACTGACCATAAAGGGCATAATCTCGAATATCGTCGCTGTCGAACCATTGTGAGCAAGAAACAGTGAATATTGAATTGATTGTACCATTGAGAGGATCGATGGAACAAAATCCATTGTCGGGTGGCTGATTAATGCGGAAAATTAACGAACTTGAAGTTGTGTCATTCACAGATGAATAAACAGTTTCAAATCGCCACAAAGCAACTTGAGGATGCGTTAGGAATAAACCATTGGTTGCTGTGAAATTACTTGTATTTTGCCCTAAAATTAAATAACTTGTCTTTTCTTCTCGACACCTATTAGAACTAATTTACCGAAAAACCAAACGCTTGTTTCGTTGAACAAAATCCATTGAGTGACGTTCGAAGACGAGTTCCTTTCGCCATAATAAACATTCCAGGTAATCTGTTGCAATGTCATGCAGTTGCCATTGCACACAGAAAATAGAGCGACTTGAGTTGTTGGATTAACAAGTTGAAATTCAACTTCGCGTGAACATATCGTTCGAATAACACACCTATTCATACGAAATGATATTTTATTTGATTTGATTTAGGCAAAAAAGAACTATATTGAAGAGTTTACCCAATTAGAACTGTATATGGGCGAGTGTCATCGACTGTGACAAGTAAATAGCCAGTTGTCTGAAGAGATGGATTCTGATGATTTCTCATTCGAATCATAAATTGGTATGTCTGATTTAATTCTAAGGAATTCGATCGAATAACGATGGATGATTTGATGGAATCGTTGAAAAGAAGATTTCCACGATTTGCTAAACATGAAGCATTTGATACATCATTTCTCATATCATCAATAGTTAAAAGCGAGCCATTTAGACTTGGAAAATCACTGAAACCGTAGATTCGACAATAATATTCATAAGTCCAATCCTGTTTCACAATAAAAAAAACAGACTATGCAACTCTTCATATATCTGACTTTTAAGCATACCGTAAAATTAAAAGTGTTTTCATCGGGATTAACCGAAAATCGACCAGGATTCAATTCCAAATTTTCTCCTCTTGCATGTGTGATCATTGATGTGCCGTATTCAATTAGATTTGCTTCAATTTCTGATTGAATCATTCGTACATACACGGATGATATCATCGTCACACTGGAGAAATTAAGTGTAGTAATGATCAGTTTTAATTCATATGTTCCGTATGGTAGCGTCCGTTCTGGAATATGTAAATCAGTTAATGTTGTTTCGATTGACGAATCCAATTGTATTGGATTTGTGCAGTTCAAACTACAACTTGTAATTGTCCATTGGGCAGTGATAGATAAAGAACTATTACATGCAAATTCAATGAGTGAGTCAACATACAGACTTTCGCTACGTCGAACTTCAATAGGAGATAATAGTGTAGACAAACTAGGTATGAGTGTTACTCGTGGAATAAAACATGACACGACGCTACTCGTAACAGTTGTTGTTTTGCTCGTTGAGGTACTCGTAGTACTGCTAGAAGATGATGTAGTACTTGTGGAGGTACTGGAGGATGACGTGGTGCTACTGGAGGACGAGGTAGTACTTGTGGAGGTACTAGATGATGATGTAGTACTACTGGAGGATGATGTGGTACTTGTTGAAGTACTTGAGGATGACGTGGTGCTACTGGAGGATGATGTGGTACTTGTTGAGGTACTGGAGGATGACGAGGTGCTCGTAGTACTGGTAGAAGACGTTGATGTAGTCGTGGTGGTACTGGTAGATGACGAGGTGCTGGTAGTGCTTGAGGTACTTGTCGAAGTTGTCGAGGTTGGATCCAGAACATAAAATGACCAAAATATTGGATCAGTGATCGGACTAGATTCGGCACCTTTCAATATTCGTCATTAAATCTATATTTTAGGTCAAAGAATTATATGATAATTACTTACCACAAAAATCTTCTCCGGAGGCAACACCTAAAATAGAAAACAGATATGAAAAAATTCAGTAAAAACGCGTGCGCTATACCAGAATCCATCGTAACATAATATAGGTGTCCAGAAATCCATGGCGAAGCAGTAAAATTAATGAAGATGGTAGTATTCTCGTAAATCACTTCTGGTGCCCGACTACAATCAATCGTTCGAACAATTGTACTTGTATTAGCGTCGTTAAAATAAATATTAACACCGGAGCGTCTGGGCCGGTAGGACTTTTGTGTCGCTGGAAAATGAATACATTTCATTATGTTTGAGAAAAGAATGGAATGAGTTTTGAGTTGTGAATGTATACGTTTTCTCTTTGAGCTAATTACATGTATAACTAGGTATTTTTATACGTAAAAACGCGATTCTTGATTAGAAGTAATAGAGGACAACATAATGTCATCGATGCTGATACTTTTTCCAGAAAAATTCGCTGTATGAATAAGAACAAAGTGAACACTTTCTCTTTATCTTTACTCACATAAGGATATTTAGGTAAAATATATTACTTTGTAAAGAGAAAAGAGTTTGATCCCGGAAAATGAAGACAGGTGGTGTAGGCGTGGGTCGTATGATCACAGGTGCAACGGAGTCAACCAGAAACGTGATACACCATTGATTAGAGAAAACATTGGTGTTATCTATGGCAGAAGCACAGAAAACTTGTGGGCCCGATTGATTACTAGTAGGAATCCAGTTTACATTGATTTGGTATACATCTAAAATACTAGAGGTAAAGCGAAGAAAATGATCGAACTATTGTATATACTGACTAATTGCCACATTGAGAATACTACTCTTCTGAAGTCCAACTGGAGAGCTAGTAAAAAATTCAACTATACTCTTTCCGGGACAAGACACTTGTGCCGTAACATTTACAGTAAGAGACACTCCAATAAGTGCACTAATGCAAGCTGAAACAATAAATGGCTATGTACGATCAAATGATATATGGGAAAGATTCATATCTTACATCGATCTGGCCGGCCGTTAATAATGACTGGTGGTGAAGTACAATTGCTTGATGGAGAATAGCCATAGAATAAAAACTGAAGAGGAGTCGAACTCATCGGCACCGTTGACAAACTATCGAAATAATCTTCAACTTGTAATAACACTGCTGCATACGTATTAGCCATTGTAAGATTAAATATAATTGTACAATTGTTTTCAATGAGAGAAGCACCAGGCACACCATTACACACACCACCGCATTCACTAAATCCATTAATATTAGTCAGCGAACTTGTTGCCCAGCGGCATCTTATTAAATCAGTTAAATCATAGTCCACGACTGGAACAACATATACGTGTTGAACATTTATAATTTTGTAAATAACCGGAATAACCGTAGTGACGGGACTGCTATTAATATAACCATCTGGGCGAAGCACGGTGCTAATTCGACTGACAACATTCACCGCTCCTGTACTTCCAGAGACAAGATTAGGGGACCAGGTGTTACTACCAGTCTGAGCAATACTAAATGAAACATTCAGCGGTATGCTTAATATTCGAGAATCCTCCCCGGTAGAAATATCCGCCAGTGCACTAAAGTCAGTGCAACATGTCCATAAACTCATATTGGGGAAATAGCCACAACTACTAATCACACAAGCCAGATTTCCTGAACTGCCAATCATAGGAGATTTAGCAGCAATAGTAGCCGCATTACAACCAGGTGCGAAATAGCTGTTGCGCCATGACCATTGTTCACGTACAATGATAAAAGCTGTGGAACCTGATGGAGTCTTATTATAAGCACGCCTATAAAATTCAATTATCACATGAATCTACTCAACATTCGTATGCAACTAACCATGTAATCGTTCCGCCACGAAAATGACTTGTATGTATAATTGATACCGCTATACATAAGTAAACAAAAAGTAAATGATCGATCGTCATCTATTAAAAAAGATAATCTGTTTGTTATACATGCAAAGAACAACGTGGGAATATTTATATACTACCATAATTTGATCGTGATACTAAGAGTGGTGTTGCGAAAATGCATTACAATGAAGAAAAGAAAAGGTATGTACACATATGAACTGGGCTGATCTTTCACGCTTTATCATGAATAATTGTATAGCAGAAGCGAGTGACTACAGGTGAAGAGTTTGAGTATGTCTCTTAGACCTACGTCAAGGATAAAACGGAAGATAATATGTGCTTTCACATGTAAAAATCTGTCACGTTAGAATGAGAATTTCAATAATGTACTGAACAGATTTATAATGAACGACTTTCGCTGATTATACTGACGAAAAATCATGCTTTCAGCAGATTGAATGTCTCTATGGCATTTTGGCCCAGACTGCATATGAATCGAAGTTATACAGACTTGAAACATACTATGCGATCTTCTTGTGAACTCTTGAATGACGTTCTACGTAGATAGCGGAAGGCTTTTCAAGGCATTATAATCTGAAAAGAAATGCTCATTGGACTCTAGAGGGACTTTATTAGGATTTCGTAGAAAAGAGAGATTTTTCAGATGGGCATTCTCGGCGTAAAAACTTATGAAAATTGGATATGTATTATCTGAGACGATACGTGCGCATATGCTTTTGAACTTCACAATTATGTATTTTAATTTTGCGTGAGAGTCTAGAAATACGAGACACTTAAATGATTAGAGTAGTGTATGAGAAAAAGAAGGTTTTTGGTTTTCTTTTTTCTCGTAATAAATTTGAGCGATGTTTGATTAGTTAAAAAACAATGTTTTCTGCGAAAAGCTTTCTTCGGTGAAAAAAAAATATATATAATACGACGTTCGACTATTTAGCTATTCCAACATTCGGCAACTAATCCAGTCTAATCAAACTGTTGTATTGAATAAATATGCATGAAGTCTTTTAGTTGGTATACTTTCTGTTGTTACTCGATTAATACGATATCAAATAAAAAACAAGTAAAAATCATTCGAGCTCATTACCAAGTGAGAAGCTGTAAAAAAATCAGAAAACGCTGCCACTGATGTGAATATAACAACAACAAAGGCGAGGAGAAACAAATATGTAGCAGAGTTATTCCAATTCCGACTCATTTTATGCGTTACAGGTTTCTCTGTGAAAACACTTTTTCATCTGCACAACCGTTCCGGACATTTCTTTTTTTTTCTCTGAAAATCTCTCTCGGCACATATAATGTTATCAAAAAAGAAAAAATATGAGAGAAAAAGTCATGTAAAATTAGTCTTTCTAGAGTATGGTCTTGTATAAATGTCCTCTCTGACACATACTGATTCGATGACGTCATGTCGACGTTTCTCATTGTAATTCTAGGAAATTGCAAATGTACTGTCAAAAAAATCAGATCTGTTGATAGTGACAGCTACACAAGAGGAAATGAGGATGGGTAGAATGTGAAATACCGAAAAATTCACAGAAATCGCATCAACGCACTCCTAGACACTCATCAGTCATACAGCAGTAAATAATCAATCATGAGTCTTTTCATATTTACGCACAAAAATCTCATACAAACAAAGTCGTATTAACGTTCAACATGCGTTATCGTTTATATACTTTTTATCTAAAACAAACCATCTAGTGTTGTTACAGAAAGATCAGCAACACAGAACATCATATTTCTTTTATATGATTCATTTGACAAAATGCCTTTAGTATCGGATGATTGCGTGTAAACAGATAAGAGAGCAATATAAGCACTCATGTGCGCCATCAGGTTGGATCAACGAAAACTAAGTTATACAACGTTTTTCAACGTATCAATATTAGGATTCGCGAGCGTATTTATGATATGTATAGATTATAATGTAGTAGCTCGTACATTCAAAAAATGTTTTGAAAAAGTTGTTATCGTTTGTGAACTCAGTCCATCAACGTTCTCTGAAGAACTGTATCTATAAGATAACTTCGTTCAGAGAAGCTCGTCATCGATCAAAAGTACGATGATGTTCGGTCTGTTAGCGAATTTAGTCATGTGAATTGGCAATCTTATTGTTTTGTGACACATCATCTTCATTATGGGCATCGTTTGGATATTGTTGTGATGAATTATAATTCGGGTAATAGTCCAATATTTTTCGATTACGACAATGCAAGTTTTGTTGATAAATTGATATTTAATATTGATTATCGTTGGAAACATCAATAGAGAACACTTCTCCCGTCTTGTTTCGTTCTTCAGTACTCCTATATCGCTATTCTACACTACCGAAAACGTTCCAATTCATAAGCATACAAAAAAACTGCTGACAAACGCTTGCTGATGTCGTATCAGATAAAAATAGTTTACTTTAGGGGCACACATTCACAGTACACACTGCTTGTTATCGACTTCAAGTTTCGAGGATTAATGTGTTGGAGTTAAACATATGGTAATAATGAAATAAATGACGTTAGAAATATTCACCATGGATGTGAATCATGTAGGAGTATTTATCTGAGATACTATCACTAAACTACGTCAAATTCACCTTGAAATCTTCAATTTTGCTTATCATTTTCTGTTGACTTGTTGTCATTATATTTAAACACGTAAATATTAACAATTACCTTGCACAAAAAAAAAACATTCACAATGAAAGTCGAAAGTTCTATTTTGATTGTTTGCTTCATTGTTAGCTTGTTTAGTAAGTAGATAGGTCAAAATTCATAGAATAATTCTCGTATTTCTTAGGCGAAATCAACGGCGCAAGTTCAAGCGTTAAACCAACAACGCAAAATACTCCACCGCGAACCACTCCGCGCACAAATACTCCACCGCGAACCACTCCGCGCACAAATACTCCACCGCGAACAACACCTCGCCCACGATATTCATACTGTTACACATGCCAATACGGTTATTGTCCACTTCCATTTCGACGTAACGGCGCTTATGTACGTGAGACAATTTCGTCTAGTGGATATTGCGTAAAAATTAGTGATACAGCTCTTACTAATTCACCAGCACGTCGTGATATTGGTACAGGTTATTGCGTGACCAGTGGATGTGGTTGGAGATTTGTCGATGGAGCTAATAAATATGTTTGTTGTTGTTATGGCAATTTGTGCAATTCGGCTCTTCCAACATCGAAATTAAATATTTTTATTTTATTCTTATCAGTTTCATTAATCACATTTATTAAAAGATATTTTTAAATTTTTCCATTGAAATAAAAACTAGTGAAATTCGGCATGAGGTTTCTTACCGTCTTCCTTAGAACTTTATTAAAAAGTGATCTAATGGCGAACAGAAAACATTATGATTTTCTACTACACGTTACTCAGTAGAACTATTCAACTTATCTCATTTAGTTTTTATTGAATTTATTCAATATTCAGTATGTTCACATCTTCTAATCTTCGTAATTCCCTCCATATTGAATCAGCTGCTTGATATATCATTTCTTTTAAACGTTTCATTTCATTTTTATGAACGAGTTTTAGTACAGCCAGAACTTCGTCAGTGTTCGGCGAAATTATATGAAACTGAACGTTATCATCTTTAAGATTAAGAATCTTCACCAAAATTTGATACTGCTCTGGATGATATTTTTGTATAAAGCCACAAGTCATATCATGGCGCAAGTGATAAAGGATTGCATTGGGATGGAATAATGGAGTGAGTTTCACTGGATATTTCTTACTAATCTGTTCAATTCTCTTGTCAGCTTGTACAAAGTATTCTCCTCGGAAATGCCAATGGACACCATCATAATCAGAGACACATGGATCAAAACTATATCGTTCTTGTTCACCTTTGCGTGGGGTCAAAAAGAAAGTTTTTCCATCATTAACAAATGTTAAATGTTTGTACCAACTGTGTAGTGTTGAGAATCGAATGATGTCTCTATCGAGCTCACGACGACTGTAATTTACATATTGTTTGATCAACTTTCGAAGGCGTTGGTTGCATTCAAAAAATAACTGAAAATGTTCGGCTGGTTGTAAATATGTCAAAATGTAGATAATCAATTCATTGGGTAAATGTTCGAATGTTGAAACATTCGACATGATTCATGTGTAAATTGTGAACTGACGCATTTATATTGCAAAAGTAGATGTGATTCATTGAAATTGCACAATTTTTATGCAATGAAAAATCAAAATAGAAGAACCACAAGTGACAATGTGTTACATACGTAGAACGCAAATGCTAAACTAAACTATAGAGATTTTAAATTAGAAACTTTTCATATGGCTTCAGCGTCATATATTTGTATTTACACAAAATTAAAAAGAACGGAATGAAATACGATCATGACAGTGTTTAGACAAAATCAATGATAGGAAAATTTTCACACATAGCTGTGTTGTCTTGATTTGCATTGAAAGAATGAGTGGCAATGCATTCCACCACGTTTTGAAGATCTTGCAAATGAACTCATCCTCGACGTATTCTAGGCCATTTGGATATTCGGCATGTTCACAAGGATATCAATAGACGAATCGATAAACTTGTCGATCCACTTACCAATATTTATCTCGTGTTTTTCTCAAGAGAATATTTCATATCACGTACTACGCGATTATCGGTTGTTGCTTCTTGTAGCTTCGGTTTAAATCGTTCAACTGGCTCGTGTTTTCAATCAACGCGTATCCAATTTGAAATACTCTATTTGTCGTAGATTTTCAATTCCCAACAATACGGTAAATATTAGTGCTGTTCGATCACTCCATCCATATTTCGTAGCTACGAGTTGCCGTTGTTTGAATCGTCTAGCTCTCGATATTCTATCGACTACAGTCAAAAGCTAATCAGATTTCATTGCATTTCTATCAAATAAACATACTTCTATCTGATAAATTGATGAAGTGAATGTGGGAAAAGTAAGAGGGAAATGTTCCTTGATATACATTGCTGCAATATACTGATTTAGGGCAAATTCTGACTGCTCTTTTTGATTTTATTATAGCGCGTTCCATTCGGTTATCTTTTGCTACAATTGAGCGTGTAGTTATGATACAAAAATTTCTAAAAGTATCTCATTTCCTGTTTGCACTGAGAATCGCTTTGACATCAGCATAAATATACTGTGAGAAATATATAACTCTTTCATAAATAACTCATAAAAATGGAAGAACAAACGCGTACGAAGCGTCTTCAAAATTTTTTCATTGAATTTAATCTATTTAAAAGTGGTGAAAACAGCGTCGAAAACCTGCGAATTCAACGCTGGTCAACGCGTTTATACATCCCACTTTTATCCTTCTTAATGACGATTCTTCTCATTTACACATCACTACAAACTCAATCGAAACAAATTCAAATCTACAATCCATCATTACAAACTTATACAAAACTTTACCAAGCATATCCGAACGCCGAATGTCCTTGTAAACAAATATCCATATCATACAAGACGTTTACTGAACTATCCGCCAAATTTCATCAAGTTTGCTCAAGTGATTTTGTATCGGAAGAATGGATTCGACTTCTTTACGAGAAAAACTCTACAACCTTACGTTACGTTGTTGATTTCCGTGCAACTGCATTCAATCAGTTTCAAATTCTTCGACAATTATGTCAGTTATCTTCAATGACAATTAATGATGGAATTGAAGCGTTTTATCAGAAGTCTTTGATTTCAGGCAAATTGTTAAATAAAGATTTATTTTCCGCACAAGTTCAATCAGATATTTCGGCATTTACGAGAATAACAACTGAAGAGTTTCTTCGCTCGTTAACGTTTATGCGTTCATTCATGAATGGAAACGAATTGTTAACTGTAATTGAAACCGCCTATACGCTTATAATTGACTTTCAAGTAGAAAATTTAGTGTAAGTATGCTAATTTCTATTCTTAGAAATGTAAACGAGAATTGATTTTGTAGACCACCACTAATTACAAACTTTTATACTGAAATCGATGGAACACATTGTGGTTGTGACTCCGATTTATCCTGTCACATGACTGTAGGGTTTTATGATTTTGAGATGATAAGTAGATATGATGCAAGTTATAATCTTACTCAAGTTTATCCACGAGAATTTCTCTATGGTTGGAAGGTCGCTTGTTGGCCAATGGAATCTCTTCTTCTATCAACATTCGAAAGTTTCTATAACCAAACCATTGTCAATCGCATCGTTTTCTATATGAATTCATCAGCACTCTCTGGTCATTTCAAAGCATTGAATTCGTCGAGAGATATTCATTTTACATCAAATGAGATAATTGAAGATCTTGTCAACGAATTATTTGTTGATCAATGGCTTCAACAATCAAATTACTCATCGTATTATTCGCAATGTCAACCACAGTATTGTCAATATGACATCAACGAAAGACCTGCAGTATTATTTATTATTACATCATTACTTGGTCTTTATGGTGGACTATCGGTTGTTCTTCACTTAATTATTCCTTATTTCATTTCGTTTATTCTTCAACGTTTACAGCGGCAAACAGTCGTTCAAGAAGAAACGGTTCATCATGGTAAGTACCATTATAGGAAATACGATCTAATAGAGTGTCAGAATTCGAAATAACACTATTTTAGATTGGTCGCTGCGGCAATGGATTCGAAAGATTGTCGACCTTATACTGCATTTAAATCTGTTTCGATCAGCATTACGAAATGCGCCGAATGATTTGAAACAACAAATTTGGTCAACGCGACTTTATTTATGTTTGATCTTTCTTTCTTTTTCCATTCTAATGGTTTACTCATCAGTTATCCAACAACGACGAATAATTCAACTTGCTGAACCATCATTCGAAATTGTTCAACAATTAGAAACGAAAGGATATGTTCTAACATGTCCATGTGAATATTTATCGATTAATTATGAATATTTATTCGAGTTACAAGCGAATTACCATCAAGTCTGTTCAAGTGAATTCGTCTCAGAACGATGGATCGATTATTTAAATACAATTGCCGATAGTTCCGAAGATAACTATGACAATCGAGATTTTCGCACGATAAGTTCTTCAATATTTCACTTACTTAGTTCGATGTGTACTTTATCTCAAACCACTGTTCTCAACGCGCTTTACGAATTTAACCAAAGGCAATTGATAACCAACGAACTTCTCTCGTTGGACATATTTACAAATCAAATCAATGCAATCATTCAACAGTTTCAAACCACATTACCAAATAATTTATTGAGTTTACTTCAACTAATACGTAATATGACCAATGTCAATCAATTCATTTCGGGAGGTTATTCAAACTTCGCTGTTCTGTATTCTGACAATCAAACAATTCCCTTTTTACAGTCAGATGGTTTCATCTCAACTTTTGCTAATGGAACTACAACCAAATGTTACTGTTCGAATAACTTCACATGTCAAACTGAAACATCCCTCTTTCATTACAACGAAGATCATCAACCAAACGGATCCTATTATCATGTCCCAAATTTTTACACTGGATGTTATCCAATCGAATCGTTACTTCGGTCAACATTACAATGCTTCTACGATAATAGTCCATGTTTTGATATTGTGAATAACATCACCGATGAGGAACTTTATCAAAACTTTACTCGATTGAATTCGAATAGATCAGGTCGATTTGCGATAAATATTACAGTTGATGACCTTCTTCAACAGTTATTTATTGATTCGTGGTTGACAACACTGAATTATTCATCGTATTTTCAAAAATGTCAACCAATTTATTGTGAATATACGATTCTTCAACGAAAAGATGCAGTGGAAATTGTAACGACCATAACTGGCCTTATTGGAGGATTAGCGACAATATTTAAACTCATCTCACCATACGTCATTTCCATTATTCTTTATCTGATTCGTCGTTTCATGGGAATTGAGAATTCGCAAAGTAAGATGAAATATAATCTCGTTGTCTTCGAATCGTTTGTTTTTTCTTCAGATGAAAATAGACATGACTCGCTTCATTTGCGTGATGTGCCGAGAAAATTGCGCGAAATTTTACTGAATGCAAACATATTCGAAGATCCTGATAATCTGACATTGGATTCGAATGAGATTCGCCGAGAAAAACAATCTACACGTTTATATTTTATTTTACTCTTCATCGCACTTTCGATTCTCATCATTTATACTTCATTAGTTTATCAAAATAATCAAATTGTAGTCGAAATATCTTCTCTCAATAGTTTTCTTCAGTTTCAAGATTCGCACAATTCGACCTTCGTCAATTGTTCATGTACAACACTATCGATCATTCAATCGACATTCTATGAAATCAAACCAACATTTCACGCGATATGTTCCAGCGAATTTATTGCTGAACCATGGTTAGACATGTTATTGCAAAGTTCATTTCATAATGGAACGCCAACGAATGTGTTTACTTTTAATGATACAGCATTCGCACAATTTCGGACTTTGTCAGTGCTATGCAACTTGACTAAACAAGTTGTTCTTGACGGGCAAGATTTATTTCTTCAAACAAAAATCGTATCATCACAAATGCCGAATAAAACTTTGTTTGATTTGCAAACAGCTGAAATTATTGATGAGTTTCGGTCGTCATTGCCGAATACATTTCTGCATAATCTTCAAATGTTTCGTGGTCTTGCACAAGGAAATGGTTTTATTTCAATCTATTCAACTGATTCGTATCTTTATGTTAGAGATCTCGATGTTGATCCTAGTATTTATTTAAAATCTCAATCCTACGACGATTGCGATTGCGCTCTATCATCTTCGTGTGTCAAAAATTCCATTCCAAATATCGACGGATATTTCGTTGGATGTTCGCCGTTAGAATCTCTTCTTCAATCGACATTTCAATGTTTATATAATCAAGAGTGTATTCTACAAATGTCATCTGCGATTAATTCATCATTTCTACCGACTCCACTCAGTCAAATTCAATCAAAGTATTCCATTAACAGTACAGTTGACGAGATCGTTGGACAGATGTTTATCGAATCGTGGTCAATAAACATTTCGTATGAGAACTTCTTCGACCAATGTCAACCAAAATCCTGTTCATATATTGAAACTGAACGATACAATGTTGTTTATATGATCACGATAATACTTGGTCTTTATGGTGGAATAACTGTCTTATTAAAACTTATTGTTCCTCTATTCATTCATCAATTCTCTAAATTTATCAACAGCTTTCGTCGTAGAAATCACCGAATCGTGCCTGTTTGACTTCTCTTGACATCGTAAAGTGTCCTGCGTCAAGTCAGATTGCGACGCTTTCATTATTTTCTTGCACTTAATAAACAAGGATGTGGTATCTGTCAAACGACACTCACCTCACCCATAGAAGTCTTCGAGAATAAAGTGTAAGAAAAAAAGTGCTATAGGCTTCTCATAGTTAAGAATGTAAATAGGTTCCTTTCATATCAATCACACCCACACTCTCAGCATATAATCTACAAACAAGTACGGCAAAAAAAGACCTTGAATAAAAGGTAGTAATCAGTGCATGAGTGGACTCCGAGGGTTATTTTCTATTTCTTCATAAATACAATGAATAATAAATTCGAAAATTTCTATAAATATGCGCATATACCGTAAGACCTTGAATTGAAGACGGCAATTAATGCATGACTGAATTCGGAAGGTTATTTTTTGCTCTCTAATAAATATAATCAAGGGTTCCTCTCTTTTGAATCTTGTACGAGTAAATATGCACTTATCTGCTCTTTGACTATAGCTATAAAAGGCGAGCTCAAGTCGCAACTAGTTTGTTTCTGACTCGTACATTTATCAAATATTTCTTCAAACTCCGGTAAGTCGAATTATGAATTAGTAAACTGATAAAGCGCATCTTGCGAGGATGTGGCGGAGAGTTGTATATCCATCGATACATGTATACTTGTAATAGTCGTGCTATGCTTGTCTGTTTTAGCGTATTCATCTGAATAAATAAGTTTTATTTTAGAAACATGAAACGATTTTCTGCAACGACATTGGCAGTGCTCTTAGTATTGGTGTTGGTAATATCGATGAGTGACAAGGCCGAAGCTGCTAACTGTTGCTCAATCTTTAACACCAAGTGTTGTTGTCGTAACAAAGCTGGACAACAAGTCGGTGTTAAAATTAATATTTTCAACGGCTTACAATTTGCTGCCGATGGAGGTACCTGTGAGGGATGTCAAATTGGTTGGAAATGTTGAACACACATCTTGTTAGAAGAAAAAATATCAAAAGACTTCTTCGATGTACTTTTTCTCACCGTTCTTAAATAAAGAATCTTATTGCTCCATAGAGTTCTACAGATCCGCATATATGACTGAAATGGATGAGAATATACATCTTCGAGTTCACTCTTCGTGTCGTACTGAAGTCATTTACAGCACAATCGAATTTAAAACAAATATGCCCAAAGCAGATTTTGTGAACAATCGAAACATTACCACCTATATCTGGTAAAGTTTTGTTTTTTTTCCGAAGAAAAGAAAAGGTGAGTAGTTCAGTCTTTCCGGATGCCGCAACAGGATTATCAGAACGTGCGAAATCATTATTCATAGTCATTGGCTAATTGGAATGTCAGAAGACCAGAGGATTTGAAATTGATTCTGTTCCTACTGTAACTGGCACATCGATATGGAAATTATTAAGCATTTATTGAAGTTTAACTGCAAATCTAATCAAATAATGAAGGCGAACGATAGCAGCAGATTGAAGACTGCCTTGAAAATCACATGGTGGAAGTAATGGAGTCGAAGAGAACTATCACCTTCGTACTAAGATTTTATACTAGAATAAATAAATTTATTCATATTTATTAACTGATGGTTTAATCTTATGTCAAAATTTATAAGGACGTTGCGATATACGCTTATATTTTTGACTTTTTCTTTGACTTCATCCAGGTTACAATCGTTAAATTAGTAGAAAATGTGGAACAGAAAACTGACAACTTGTTTTTGCTTTTCAGAGAAGAAAAATTTTCAACACTCGTACACGCTAGGAGCATATCAAGTGAAATAAAAATGAACCAAATCAATAAATTAGTTTCTAATATTGTCACAATCATATTCTCAATGGCGATCGTTCAATAGTTGACACACACAATAATTCCCTGTGCATCAACACATTTAAAATATCCACTTTGTACAGCTTGAGATGTGACTTCAAGCAGACGTTTTTGTTTTTCTAAAGAGAAAATTAAATGGATGCTATATCTTTTCTATGCATTATAAAGATGTGGATACCCAACACCATACTAACTATAGGTATCTATCAGAGTTATGGACATGTTCTTCTATATGACACAGAAGATAGTCTTGTGGAGTGGTATGATTGTATTTACTACACGGTCAACGGAGAAAGAGTTTCATATTGTTGGCGAACAAGGGATAGAGTATCGGTAATTGGATGGGAACATACTGAACGTTTTGTCAATATCAACTAATTCATTACGGTAAACCATTTGAACAAAGTATTATGGTACAATTTCATCAAAAAGCTTTTGATCAATGGGATATTCAACACTTCGATGCAATTCTGGAGCATGTTGTTTGGATTGGAGAGATACATGTGATAGCTATCAATAATGTATGTAATGGTCTCGATTAAAACTAGTCGCTTTCAAAACATGTAATGTTCTGTTGACGATAACATCGACTTATGTCGTTTGGTTCTATTCAGACAAGATAATACAATATTTCGCACCATATAAGAATGCCATTGCGTTTATAATTATAACTACTGATTAAATGAATTCTATGTTTCCAAAGTAAAACCTTCAAACGAGCTAAAATGACGAATCTGAGCGTTCGGATTGAATGCATGTCTGCTTCCTGTGTTACATATTTACAGAAGATGATAAAAGAATATCTGAACACAAAATAAAATGCTGACGTCCAGCAGTTAAGAATATGAAATGTTGTGACGAGCGCACGATTTCCCTCCTTTTATTCGAAAGAGGCGATGAGTAAATATACAATTGAAGACAAAGGAGAAGTCATTAGGAACTTCTCCTTGTGTCCATACGACAAAAAGAACGTCTAGGCCCAAGTTCACTTGGAAACAAAAGTACCTAGATGAAGAAGAAAGAACGAATCATATGTATAGAAACAAAGAGAGGTACATAGAGAAGAAAGAAAGCACACGTATAGAGAGATCATGTATATCGGCTTAAACACGTAACGCGTCACCTCCGAGGGTGTGAGTTTGAACTTATTGTTTTGGAAAGCTTTCAAAACTATCTTACAGAGCATAGTCTAAAATGTGTGGAAACATATTTTGTTTTAGTTCAAATCGTTGGAATTTGTGAAAATTTTATATAAACAAATGCATTAGTTCAAAATGAAAATTTTGATCGTATTTATGTCGTATATTGTTTTAATTGTTTTATTGATGCACTTTATTATTTTCACGAATCGTCAATATGAATAACCCTTTCAAGGATAGAAGTATCTTTTCACATAGCCATTAAATTTTACATACCTTTTACCTCTATGAAATGAGCTCAGACAATACTAGTCTATTTATAACATCATCGCGTAACAAAAATTGGCTATTTTAATTTTTTTACCTTCTAATACTAGTTCTATTTTGTTGAAATCCTTATAACCAA